AACATATATTACAATTTCTTGATCCATTTGATAGTTGGGCATTTAAACTGTTTCCATATTGATTTCTGTGCTAAATTCAAGACATTTACCTGTTTTGTTATTCATGTTCATTATTTGATTATTTACATATAATGAATACAAGTCCTCTATCAGATATGTATTAATGTTTTCAACCCATTTCCTTTAATATCTGCTATCTTTAACAGATGTATATTTTCCTAGTGTAGTAGCAATTTCTTAACTTGTTATCAGTTCTCTAATAGACATTTATATTTATAGGAGAAAATTGTATGTCAGTTTAAAACTATACATTGTTTAGAGCATATCATTTTGGTTATGATTCAGGCAGTCAATGCTGTAAATTTTGCCTAACTAGTATCAATGCAAAACAATCCTTATTTATAGAAAAGCAAATGAAATCTGGTGATTAAATTGATTACCCTGCTCAACTGTGGAAACCAATTTTGTCTCCATTTCACTTTCAATAAACCTGGTCTACACGTGTCTATTCTCTGAAATGATTAGGACACATTGCCAGTTGCCTCAATTGTAAGAACTTAAATAAAATCATTGACATTTTATCCTGCCCCTGCACCTGGCCGTCCTCACCGGGGCCCCTTGGAAGGGGGAGGGTTGAGTTTCTCTCCCCTCCCCCCCACCCCGAGCAGAGCCCCAGCAGCTAAGGGCCTCCGGAGCCAGCCATGGCCATGCTGGGACCAATCTCCAAATGTCCGGACAGGCCTCATGCATGAAAGAACTGGCAGAGGAACCCAGGCATGAGGGTCCCGGGGCTGAGGTCTCCAAGCCTACTCGGATTGGGACTGGGCCTTCTCCAACCAGACCCCCCCATCTTCCAGTAGGTGTCACACCTACCAGCTGCCACCAGCGCCAGGTTGGTCCCATCAATGGCCAAGACGCGAGACTATAAAACCCAGCTCCCGGAAGCGCGCTTATTATCTTTTTTTCCTGCCCACACGGCAGAGTCTGGCAAACTTCCCGTGTCGTACTCAATATGCCAAATACCAGTAACAATGATGGGTCTCATTCTCCTAATCCTGAAAGAGCACTTAAATGGCTCTTTTAAAATCTCAGGGCTAAGAAGAAGATGCTACTGGTGCCTGCTCGAGGAAATCGACGAACAGGGTGATCGTGACATTTTATATTTGTCTCAAACTCTTAATTTGTATTTTTTGTAGTGGAGGGGCAATAAAGTTACTGAGAATTGAACCCAGGACTATTTGTATGGGAGACATATGCTTTATTAATAATATCCCTTGCTGGTCCCTCCTTGATCTTTAAAAACTCATTTAACACATTGCTTCCTTTTTTATCTCAGAGGAAGCTGCAATACTCATTGCACATTTATCTTTGTGTAGTCTTTCTGAAGAGTAAGAAGTTCTCTTGCTCTCTGCAAATCAAACCAACTTTGAGCAATAGATACAAAGAACTCAGTTTCATGAAGGCATATTCTAGATGAAAACAACTTAATTATTTTAATAAGGAAAGGTGAAATTAGGTCAAACTATGGCAAAGCAGAGAAGGTAAACTAATTGGTGGAATTGCGGGAATAGGAGGACAGGATTAATGGGAAATGCCTTTGTTTACTTGGCAGACACCTACCAAAGATGTGACGATTGTGCCCACTGAAGACAACACAGGCTTGGCACTCAGGCTGCTCAGGTTAGTGGAGAAACTAACTTGTAGGCAAATAAGCAGCTAGAAGCAGTCCGTGTGCTCTAATTCACCAAATTAAAGAAAGGGGTGTTATCTACCTCTGTTCTCAAGCTACTGATCTCTTAAACTTGAGTGCCTGGAAATGCATTTATGCAGAACAGCCTTCTTTTCGAAAGATAAACAGAAAACCAAAGTCAGATTTTGATATTCATTCTTTTCAAAGAACGTTAATTCCAGGGGCAGGGAGCTAGTACATGGATGGGTAAGACCCATGCCTTTCATGTACCGCACCCTGTTTTATTCTTGGTCCCCTGAGCACCGCTATATTAGAGTTGGTGGTCCCTGGAAATGCAGGGTCTGAAAAGCACTTCATCCTTGAGTCCTAACATTCAACCATACTCCCGAGTTAACTGAGAATCACCAAAAGTGGTGCCCAAAAGAACATTAGGTTGAATAAAGGAGTGACAAGTACATCACTCCTACTAAAAAGTGAGTATGATTACATGGCCTCTGTTATAGAATACTACAGAGGCTTCTCTACTAGGTGTGGAATATGAGATAGGGAAGTGAAAAGCAGAGCTTAAAACCTAAGACTTGATTGCCCTAATAAAATATTACCATGTATTCAAATAAATGTTAAAGTGTAAAATTGTATATCGCTTTAGTAATACATGTATTAATCTGAAAGAACAAAATGCTTCCAAAATATTAAATATACTTACCAATATAATTCACATTAGTAAATTGTTACCTGGTTGAGAGTGTGTTGCTTTGCTTGTAAAAGCAAGAAAGCACATGTTCTATGTCATATTTAAAGTACTAGCTGAAAACATACGGTCATTAATTTTTTTAAAAACTGGATAGCCACAAAAATTTGTAAGTCTACAACTGTACCTCATAGTGTTTCACTAATAAAAATTTTTTAAAAATAAAATAAAATCCACAAAAAAACCTGGATAGCATTAGTAAGTTTCACTGTTGTTAAAAAACACTACATTTTAAAAAAGTATCTGTACTCAAGAATTCAAATGTTTATTCACTGTAATTATATGGAAAAACACTATATTAAAGATATACATTTATCAAAAACAGTGGTCAGGCATTTAAAATGTTCAACATTGTACCAATACAATAACACAATTTATGAAATTTTGGTGATGTCAGGAAATAAACTCAAAAGCTTAAACAATTATGAAGACAGAGATGGTCTAATTATAACCACTGGAATCTAAATATGGTAGTTACCAGAGGGAAATGGAAGGTGGAATGAGAGGGAATAGTGGGAGTCATCCGAATAGTGTGAGGGTACAATAACTTTGATGGGATGTAGTTAACACAAACAGAGGTGGAAAGATTGACTCTGGAAATTTCAAATTATTGTAAACTACAAAGAAAAATCCCATCTGAAATCTGCACACCCAAGAATTGAAATTTAACCTTTCACAAGCTACAACTTTATTTTTTCACATTAGCTCTACTAAGAGTAATTTGTAAAGTTGTTTGTTAAGTGAATGGTGAAGGTAAAACCAAGATGAATTTAGTTGAATCATTTTGATCAAAACTCTTCTGCCTCTATGAAAATGTGTTTTTTTTGGGGGGGTGCTCAAATTACCTACATTTTCAGACCACTGTTGTATCTTAATGGTATAAGATCTATGGTATTAAGTTCTATGGTACACTTAAAGGTATAAAGATATGAGGTATCTAAAAGCATAAAGATCTATGTAAAAATAGTATAGTTTCATTAAGCTAAAAGTAAAAACAGCAATTTGTTTCTTTAGACTAGTCTTTAAAACCTAAAACACATAGCTTATCTTTATAGAACAAGTTATACTACAACAAAGTACTCAAAAGTAAAGTTTAATTTACTTTTGAAAAGTTACAGGATATGAAAATATGTCTGTAGTCTAAAACTATCCTAAAATCTAAAAGTGCACAAAAATGATTTACTTACTGTTACTCAAATTATACTGTTTGACCTACTTATTACTTCTACTGTATTTCTTGTATCATAAAAACAAAGCCAATTAATATTAGTTATCTAAAGAAAGCCATGTGTTATATGCAAATGACCATAACCAAAGACTGAATCGCCCAAGGAAAATAATTCACTTTTGAACTATAAAAACCTACTTTATATTAAAACAAATGTAATGAAATGAAAGGCTGAAGCTTAAATATGGCAACTGTTATTGATAAAATTGCTCTTAAATGATCAAAAAACAAAATTATGCAGTATTTCCTACTGTTGGAATAGTCAAGAATTTTCTTTGAAATAAAATGCCTAAAGAACTGTCAGAAGGGGGGTGGGGATATGGCTCAAAGTGATTCCCAAGCACTGCCAGGTGTGGCTCCTGCCTCCAAGAAAAGCAGAACAAAGGCAAATATTTTTATGAGAGGGGGCCAAATTCAAAGTAAGGAAACAGAGAGAAGAGCAAAAGAAAGAAAAATTTGGGCTCTGAAAAAAATCAAAGAAAACCTTGAACTCTGAAAATTATGGTTGCAGGGATGGGGTAGGCAGGAGTGGGGAGGGGGCTGGGGCTGAAAGGGATGAGAGTCCAGTGGACTGTGGTGGAGGGGTATTTGGGAGGTAGGCATGGTATAGTGACATACATTTTGGGAGCTTAAGACTATACTCTTAAAACAGTCTTAAATGTTATCTCAAAAAAAAAGTAACAAAATTGCGGGTAAAAATTTAAGGAAGTTGTTTTGTTTAAAATTAAATCCCGAGAGCCAGATGCATTAATTTTTTCAGTTCTTCAAAATTTCTGTCAGCATTAAATCACACAGATTTAAATGTGTGTGCATTTGAATATTATGATTTGGTAGAAGCAATCAGAATATTGTCAATATGAAAATCTTCAGCCAGTCATTTCAGAAACAAAAAACGAAAGTTAGTGCCTAAACTTAGTCCGATTGTTTTTCTCTGGAGTGATTCATAATTTACTTGAGTGGAATCAAAACCCCTGGACAGAATTTTCTACGTGACTATTAGCAAACCTCTGTGATAAAATATTATCAGGAGGTAATTTAAAGAATTATTCTCAGGAGTAATCAAAAGAATATTGTCTCATCTCTAGAAAGCTTCAGTCAAACAATGTGACTGTAAATCCAATGAATCTTCTACAGATAGATATGCAACAAAGTCAATGAGTGTTGTACATAAACCACACCTCCATTCTTAAGTGGTACAGCTCTGTAAATGACGATTCACTTGACAAAGTTGACACAGCATTATAATGACTGTCAGTGAATCTTCTGATGGATACTTAAGACAGTCAATGAATGTTTTGGTGGTATGTAATGGTAGAGCTCTGTAAGTGACCATTCACTTGACAAATAATCAAAGTTCACAAAAGATTATGGCTTGACTATCCAATTACACATATATGCTTCACTGATGCTCAGATTTCATCTGGCACTGAGAGATAAACATATTATTTTCATCCAACATTAAAAAGAGGTATGAAAACTTATGGGTACTAAAGCCCTAAAAACTCCTTTAAAAGTAAGTGCTCATCAGAACAGTGTCTATAATTTTGCTCAAGAGATAAAGCATAACATGTCTTCCTAATGCAATTCTGCCTTACTGTTGGCAGAAAAGTGACTAATTCTCCAAGTGTAAATACAGAACTGTATCACTATTACAACCAGATAATTTTAAAATAACAACTTAGAAATCTTAAGAATGATGTTAGAGTTTAAAGGAAAATCTGAATGATTGACATTTAAGAGCTTTCATCACTCGAGTCAGAATCTCTGGCCTCTTCTATTGGCATCGTTTCCGTAGTCAACTTGATTTTGCCCTTCCTGCAGTCATGTCTGAGACTACGAATACAGCTATTGATAGCGGTCACACATGACTTCCAGTCACTTCCACTTTCTGATAGGTCACGATATGGGAAGGCCTCCTGGAGAAACTCTAAGGACAAAAACAACCATCACTTAGAAATCACTTATCAGAGAAATAAATTAAAACTTACACTACTATTGCTATGACTGTAAAGGGGTAAGGAATATTTTAACTAAGTTAAGCATGTGGACTCTTAACTATTATTAAATTAGTTGAACAGAACTTCTAATCTAAAAGGATATAATGGGGAAGATAGCTCTGAGAGGCAGAACATCAGTCTTGCATGTATGAGGTCCTTAATTCAATTCCCGGCATTATACAACCATTTTGATTGTATAATGCCAGGAACTGTATATTGCAGTGTATAATGCCAGGAATTGAATTAAGTGCCACTAATACACTGCCATGTGTAGTCCTGGTGGCACTTGAGCACCACCAGGTGTGGTCCTTGTGCCCCTCAACACCATTGGCCCAAGCAGCATCACATAAATGACCTAAGCACCAAAACATCGCACCCTCAGCACTGAGCTGAGGATAAAGAGGGGAGGTCCCGAAAAGCCCTAGAGCACTGCTAAAGAAGCCCCAATAATAAACAAAGAAATGAAAGTTTGAAAAAGATAATAAAATAGAACAATATGCAATGATCTTGCTACACAATCAGAATAGAAATTCTCTGCTACCTTCCTTATTCAAGGTAAAATTTTCTTATTCTTAAATTTAAATATGGAGACAATTAATTATAACAAATGGAAACATGCTAAGGCTTTGTAATTCACCTTTAGTGGCAAGTCGTTGTAACTGCTAAGTTTTTTGCTATTTGCTTGGCTTATCTCAAAAGAAGGTTTAAGACCATGAGTGTGTCTTGAAGTGGAAGATTTATAAAGGACAGACACAGCATCATCACACTCAAGGAGCACTCTTAGAGAAAGTAGGCCAGACAAAAGGGATGGTGAAAGAGGTGTTAACTAGAAGAGTGAAGTTGTCCTGTTGTGTATGTCATTTTCTAAGTACCTTTGAGCCCTAAGAAAAGGATCTAGAGATCTTCCAGGCAACCTTAGCTGACTATGTTAACCTCATTTGTTTGTTAGGGTTGATGGCTGGGAAATCAGGGCAATGCCATAAATGTAGCTCAGATCCAAGTATTTTTCATCAATTCATGTAACAAAGATGAAAAACTTTCATATCCAAAGAACAAAATAGATCAATGATATCTAGAGGATTTAATGACTAATAAGTATGTCACTTGATTCAACACTGGGCTCTGACTGAACATTCCTAAAAAAATTAGTTACAGTAAAACAGGCTTGTAGTACCTACACAGGACAGCAACGCTGTGACAGATAACTTGAAAACTTGGAGATAAATACAATACCTGCAAAGCTTTCACCAGGCTACAATGACAAATTTAAATTGGTTGGTGTCCCCCAAAATCTGTTCTCTGAAAATCTACTCCTTAAAAAAATTCCTTGGGGAAAAAGGCTCTAATTCTGGCAAATGGGAAATACTATACTCTGATTAGACCCTTCCAATGCCCCCAAAATTCCTCAGCAAAAAGGCATGCAAACTCAAAGTTGACAGATGCAGATGCTTTGGTGAGAGTTCATGAACACATAAGACAACATAGTCGGGCCCATGGCGATTCTGGAGGGCTAGTCAGTTAAAGGTATTCAAAACAGTGAAACAATAGACTAAGGGCCCATAAAGTATCAAGGAAAACAAAGATCTTACTTTGGTTTGACTAGAGAAGTACTTTACTCATGAAACCCTGATTAAGAGTCAAGTTTCTACAAGAAACATGGTTTGGGGAAGGCAGCTCTATACCAGCATTTCTCAGCTGAGAGCTGAAGATGCCCAAGCTTTCCAAGGGGGACCCCAACAAAAATCATGAAAATTGGGGCAAGAGCAGAAAGAATACTAGTGGCCCAAATCAATAGGAGATGGGTGATCACAGGAAAAAAGCAATTCCAGAAGGTAGTCACAGTCATGTAAGAAACACTGCTCTACACTAACAGGAGGAGTAACTACAAAATCCTAGACTTCCATTAAAAGATACTAGGAATATAAACAGAAATTATCTAAATATGAATTTAAGTACTGGATAAATGTCAACATATAGAATAAGAGTATCTGGAGCAAAGAGATAGTACAGCGGGTAAGGTGATTGCCTTGCATGCAGCTAACCTGGGTTCTATCCCTGGCATCCTATATTGTTAGCAGAAGTGACTCCTGGGTGTAGATCCAGGAATTAAACCCTGAGCATTGTCAAGTCTACCCCCAAAACAAAGCAAAACAAAACAGGGGAAAAGGTATCTAGGAGTTTTAGTTGAATATAAGTTTTGAAATGGCAAATGCTTTTTCTTAGGTTACATCAACAGCCTAGATCTAATAGTCCTATTGTATTATGGGTTAACATGAACACATTTGAGAACAGTCACATTCTGAATCATATCATGAAAGACTAGAAGTATTTATATGATGAATAACTGAAGAAACTGGAAGAAACTTAGCTGTAAGAGTCTAAGACTAATGGGAAAACATTGGAAATATTTCTTCTCCAATACTCAGGCTTCCATCTAGAGGGATCTCCAAATCAAAATGGTTGAAATGAGCAGATATGATTAGACCTCTCTACCTGCCTGATACTAGTAGTTCTCTCACTTGTTTCTGAACTTGATAGGGGAAAGGGGACTTTATGTAGGAACCAAGGGAAACGAACTGATACCTGATGAAGGCTCAGATTCATGTCTTTGCTGTGGAAAAGTGAGTAATGAAATACTTAGCTTTCTGCCTTCTCCACATTTTGGATTAGAGTCCTGCTTCTGGCAGCTTTGTTATCTTATTTATAAAGATCACAAATACTATAATATGCTCATGCACGTAAAAAAAACAGAACATTAACCTGCAGCACATTACTAAAACTGAAATTGACAAAGCTCTGTAGCTTCTGCCTTGCTCCTCAGTACATGATGGTGTTTCAGTTTCCATAATCCTGGCAAGCCATACAATCCATACCAGGGAGCCAATCAATACTGTCTTCCCTAGTATAATGATGCCAGGCAAATACAACCAATTAGTCTTGAGAACCCATATGCAAAAGAAACATAACTCATGAATCTGCTCCTTGTCACACCCTAAGAGGGAATTGTAAAGCTCTGAATGGATCTTTCTTTCTGCCTTCTATAACACGATTTTCATTGATTTATTCTCACATAGTATCATACAACAAACCTCGAAGAGCACCAATCTTATTGGCATTAAGGGGATTTATGCCAAGAGTCACATGGCCGTAGACATTGCTTCTTATCAGGACCTCCTCTGAGAACAGCCTGCGAATAAGGTATCTGGCTGACAGCTCTGGACGAGGCTTGTTCTTTGCTACAGTCATAACTTCAATCGACATCAGTATGTTTCTACATGGATTTCCAAAATAACCTGAAATAGAAATATATCAAATTTTGTGGCAGATGTTACATTCAAATTTTCAAAAGACTTTAACAGTACAGTTAATTTTTTAATTTTTAGGCTCAAGAATTTAAGAGGTTATTTGGTGTACCACTGAAATAGCATGAAATCTGATATAAGTATGACCACAGACACGATTCCATCACTTGCTCTTTATTGTTCAAGATGATTCAGTGCATTCTTAGGATAAAATCAGCTTTAACATTATATTTAGTTATAAATGCAAAGTAACCTAACGCAGTTTCCCTATTTTTAAAAGAATTTTTTCAATGCTCTACATCATTAATCATCAGGGAGATGCAGATCAAAACCACAATGAGATACCATCTCACACCTCAGAGACTGGCCCACATTCAAAAGAACAAAAGCAACCGTTGCTGGCGCGGATGTGGCAAGAAAGGGACACTCCTTCACTGTTGGTGGGAATGCCGACTGGTTCAGCCCTTTTGGAAAACAGTATGGACGTTCCTCAAAAAATTAGAAATTGAGCTCCCATTTGACCCAGCAATACCACTCCTGGGAATATATCCCAGAGAGGCAAAAATGTGTAGCCAAAGTGACATCTGTACTTGTTTGTTCATTGCAGCACTCTTTACAGTAGCCAGAAACTGGAAGAGACCTGAGTGCCCAAGAACAGATGACTGGTTAAAGAAACTTTGGTACATCTACACAATGGAGTACTATGTAGCTCTTAGAAAAGATGAAGTCATGAACTTTACATACAAGTGGTACAATATGGAAAGTATCATGCTAAGCGAAATGAGTCAGAAAGAGAGGGATAGACATAGAAAGATTGCATTCATCTGGGGGATATAAAATAACAAAATATGAGATTAATACCCAAGAATAGCTGAGATCAACACCAGGAGGATTACTCCATAGCTTAGAGGCCAGCCGGGTATTCTAGGGGAAAGGACAGTTCAGATAGAAAAGGGAACACCAAATGGAGGGTGTTTGGAGGATCCTCCCAGGAGGGGAGATGCAGGTTGAAAGTAGACTGGACTGAACATGTTTGCCACTCAATGCCTCTTTTGCTGATCACAACACCCAAAAGGAGAGAGAGAACAAAAGGGAATGCCCTGCCACAGTGGCAGGGGGGGATGGGGGGGAGGGATATTATCCTGGTGGTGGAAAATGGGCACTGGTGGAGGGATGGGTATTTGATCATGGTATGACCGAAATCCAAGCACAAAAATTTGTAAATCTACAACTGTACCTCATGGTGTTTCACTCATAATAAAAAAAAAGAATTTTTTCAGAAATAAGCACCGTGATTCAGATTTGAATGCTTGTAATCTTTTAAATGCAGGTTTTCTGTTTGGTATTAAATTCACTTTGTATTTTAGACTTATTTGAGCTAAAAGCTACATTTAAAACATGTTTTTATTTCTCAGCTCTACAATCTACTCATCATTCGCTTCAGTCCATCATGACTGCTTCAACCCAACCATACTTGAAAAATATAATTATGTATAATTACTTGCTGAATAAACTATCGGAGAATGATTCTTGCCAGTCAATAAGAGGAACTTTTATCTAAGAACATCCATAAATTACTGAATTCTTCAGACCAAACATTTAGCTAGCAAGAGAAATTATAAGAAAACAATTTGATAAGTTCAAAGACTTAAATCTGAAAGATTAACCTACTAGTAACTGTCAGGAGTCAGAAAAAACTTAATACTACTCTACCTAATAATTCAAATTCTGATCATCTAAGAATAAAAATGTAAAAAATATCTATGCAAAATATTATTTTGATATTATGATTAATAATTTCCTTCCAAAAGCCCTCCCAGGGGCCCGCAGTGAACTCCAGGCCTCATGGGATGGGGTGGAGCCAGCCCTTTCCCCGCCCCTACGAGACCCTGAGTTGCGGCCCACAAACGAGCCCTCTGGCTGCTAATCTGAGCTGCTTAACAGCCATGATCCCAGAGACTCAGAAAAAAAGCTTGGAACACAGAGGCTTTTGGCAGAAATCTCTCCAGATTTAATTATTAAAACTTCAAAATTCCAAAATTGCGCGGCCGCTATTCTGGCCAGGTATCATCATATCCAATTCATATAATCAGCAATAGGAAACAAATTGCTTAATGTTACCTTTTCAGCAGATCTGAGTGTTGGGGTAAAATCCCAAATAATAATGGTAAGTTCGGTGTCGAAATATTGAATGTAATCAAAGTAGAAAGCGTCTGCCACACAGGTAGGGGGAGGGTGTGGGGTGGGGTAGAATACTCGGGTTTTTGGCGGTAGAAAATGTGCACTGATGAAGGGTCAGGTGTTTCATCATTGTATGACTAAGACTTAAACCGAAAACTTTGTAACTGCTCTCACAGTGCTTCAATTAAAAAAAAAAAAAAAAAACGCCCTCCGAGAATTACAACAAAGAGGTAGTTAATTAAGGTACACTTATTTAACAGATTGTTATCTAACCATTTAAAAGCAGTGACTATGGAGGCCAGGGATGTGGTTCAGGGATAGATCATATGCCTCACATGTGCAAAGTCCTAGATTCCATCCCTCACACTTCATGATTCCTAAGCACTGCTGGGTGTGGCCACCACAATTTTAGAGAAAGAAATAAGTGTAGATTCTTAAGGAAACTACTTACTAAAACCATACACAATAAGTATCTTTAAAAAGTAGTTATATGCAGGTTATAACCCTTTTCAGTGTTTTCTTTAAAAGACTTAGAAAGTAAATTTAAATGTTAACAATAGTTTTTAAATAAATGTTTGTAGGAACTTCATTTCTTTGCACATTTCCTGATGTATTAAATGAAGCATCATTAAGAGACTGCACAGAAACTAGCATGACTGCCTGGCTCACAACTGACTTGGGTGACCAACCCCCTTTGTTCTACTTGAGTCGGGGTCAACCTGTGACCCAAGTTGCAAAGCTTAGTCTTTCTCCTGGGACTCTGAACAGTGACAAGGGAAAACCAAAATCCTAAGAACACGGGAGCTGTAGACATGAAGCCCCAGGGGAATTCAGGACTCCACAGGCCACAGTCTTGAGGTCACTCAGGCTCCTCCCTATAGCTTGGTTTGCTCATTGCTTCTTTATGTGTACAGGCTATTTATCCAGTTATTTTGTCATGGCACTTAAGCTTTGACAGTCTGATTCTATGATGGGCAGTTTTAACAAATGCAGCAGGGATATATATTGCTTGCTTTTATACTGGAAAATTTTACCACAAATCACTACAATGATTTCAACTGATCAGGATCATGGGTAGTACTTGCGTTTAACTTGGGGTTGACATGAAAACAGTTACCTCAAGTATTACTAAACCCCAGTATCCCTGGAAGGAGGCATCTGGAAGCATGAGTGGCAGGCAGCCTAGTCACCAATGGAGCCAAGAAGATACTTGACACTAGCAAGCAAGGTGAGCCTCCAGCAGCATGCCAACAGTGGGGGCACAGACGTCTAGGGATGTGACTGATTTCTTGATGTCAACTCTTTATGGAGTCCCTGAAATGTGCCCTGCACACAGACAACAGGACCCTGAAATGCTTTCAGCTCTTTCCACGATGGCTCCTCCTCCACCTGAGTAGCAAAATGCCTGACGTGAGAGTTCCTACTGGTGAGAGGATCTGCCAAGAACTGCTTTCCCAAGATAAAAGAATAGATTTAGTTTAACACTCAAGAACTGTGTTAGAACTAGGTAGATCTAACTTTGATCAACTTGTTCACAGGAGATGAACTTGCTTTGGTTATAAAAAAATTCAAATGTACATGCAAGTAGAGACTAGCACAATTAGCCCCATAGATGCATCATTCAGATTAAACATTATTTTATCATCAAGATTATTTGAAAACTCACCGAACACTTCAGACAATGTCACTGTACTACCATTGGAATTTCCACTCGTTTCTCCAATAACAACAGCTGTGTACTGAGGAATTTTTCTCTTTCTTTGTGAGGCAGGTGCTGGCTGAAACATCTGGGAACTGCTTTCACCAGGATCATCTCTTTCGCTCATTGCTGCAGACAGGAGTGTAGTAAGGTCTTGACTGTTGTCAGCAGGATCCTGAAATACAAAAGTGTATCTCGAAACAAATTCCCACACTGAGAAAATAAGGCTGTGCTCCACTACCTCCCAGGCCCAACTGGTAGCAAGCTACGCACCTGTAGAAAGAAGTGGACACTCAGGAGGATGTGGTGTACAAACACCATATGCATGAAACCCTATCATAAATAGTCTTGTAAATTATGGAACTTCAAATTGAAAACATTTTTTTGTTTACTACAGACTTACTACAGACTAGAAGTAAGGTAGTCTGAACCCTGGGTATTATGCACCAGGAATTTTAAATGGTGTAGGTGAGGATTTTCAATCAAGACTTCCTTCCTAACACATCGCCTCTTAAGGGACTCAGTAACTCTATCTAAAGAGCTAAACCATAACTGTTTGCAGGAAATAAATGCTTAACAAACATTTCATAAATAAACAACTAAGTTTCAAGGAGATGACAGTTTTTTGTTTTCAATGTTTTTGTTTGTTCTTTCCCCAGCGGCTTTTAAACTTGGCTGCAGACTTAAACATTTGAATTACCCTAGGGATCTTTAAGAAAACAATTTTTTAAGCTGTACATGAGTTCCAGCCTCAAGAAACTCAATCAGAATCTCTGACTGAGGGGGAAAGGCCTAGGACACTGATAACTTTCTTTTTCTAAAGTACCTCACATGATTCTAATATGTATTCTTTTTTCCTCTTTTTTTCTTTCTGGGTCACACTTGGCGATACACAGAGGTTACTCCTTGCTCATGCACTCAGGAATTACTCCTGGAGGTGCTCGGGGGACCATATGGGATGCTGGGAATCAAACCCGGATCAGCGCTGTGTGCAAGGCAAACGCCCTACCCGCTGTGTTATCGCTACAGCCCCATGATTCTACTATGTATCCAAGGCTCTAGGTTGGGGATTCTCAAACTCCAATGTGCATACAAATCCCCTGGGTAGTCTTGCTAAAATGAAGAAATAGTCTCTGCTTTCACCCAGTGAGCATGGGTAGAATTCAAGACTGCATTTCTCATAAACTGTCCAGTGCTGCTGCTGGTTCACAAACCCACCAAGTACAGAGGCCCTATCCTGCTTCTTGGGAAGTACCCAGAAAGCAACTGGCAGATGCTATTTCTCTTCTTGACACCTAAGCAAAAATGCAAATGACCATTTTCCAGGCGGCATCTTCATTTTACATTCCAATGTTTAGGGTGCAGTTTTTGGAAGATATAAAAGTGAATGTGAAAAATAAGCAGATTGGTTTCAGACAGATGGTGCTTGAGTTATCACTGAAATCAAGCCGTTCACCAAGAAAACATAAGCTCAGCTACAAATATTCTTGGAAAATAGTTTCATAAATTTACTCTGGAAATACAGAAGTGACTAGACATACAAGAAAATAGGAGTCTGAGAGAGGTGAGTGCCAATTAGGAATTGTCATTCAGTTAAGTTCTCATCAAAAAAAAAGGTAATATACATGACACTCTTCCCTATTCTTTCTATGGGAAAAGAAATCTCTAATGCACATTTGACAGAAGAAAGGTTGAGATAGTAGATTCCTGTTTATTATGTATTTCCATGAAACACTTATTACAGCTTACCCTCAAGATACTCATCATTTTAACCAGGTTTTGCCATCACATAAAGTAAACAAGTAGTGACATGCTTTCATCTTCCCTGTGTGGCCCAGTCCCCCTTCACTACCACCAGGACATATAGCAGCACCATGCTTTGCATTTCTGGTATTACTTAGTGGAACATTATTAAAGATTTGCCAAATATCTCTGCAGATAAAAATTTTTTCTAGTAGAACCCATGGCTTCAAATAAATCAATTCTAACTATATTCTATTTTCTTACCTTTATCTGGCTGGAGCGATAGCACAGCGGGTAGGGCGTTAGCCTTGCAATCAGTCGACCCGGGTTCGATTCCCCCGGCCCTCTCGGAGAACCCAGCAAGCTACTGAGAGTATCCCGCCCTCACGGCAGAGCCTGGGAAGCTCCCCGTGGTGTATTCGAAATGCCAAAAAACAGTAACAAGTCTCACAATGGAGACGTTACTGGTGCCAGCACAAGCAAATCGAACAACGGGATGACAGTGCTACAGTGCAGTGCTATCTTTATCCAAGTCTTGATCAATTGTCAAGTGTAAAATAAACAGGCAGTATGCTTTTAAGGAAACATCCCTTACCTCTAAAATTAAAAAACCTATTAAAGCACATGACTTGAAGATCCTGGGTATCATGAATCAGCTATGGTATTGTATTCAGTATGTACTTGTATAACAGTGACCATATTTACATGAAAAATAACTTACAGTTAATGCTTTGGCTTCAGAACAAATACAGGTCATCAGAGATCTAATATCAGAAAAGCAGTTTTTCCAGTGTTCTCCACCTTCACACAAGTCATAGTTAGGAAAAACAGTTGCCACATATTCTGCAAAAGGCAAAAAACATTGATGAAATGTGAGAGGAAAAAAACCACTAAGTTCTAATTTAAATACTGAGATTTTCCTTTATTTTCAAGGGTGACCTTCTAAGCAGTGCTTAGGGGGCTGCGGCTACTCCTGGTGATACTCTGTCCAGCTGTGAGGGCAGAGTATATAATATCATGCTCGGGCCTAGTGATGAGGTATTCCTCGCCATGCTTAGGACATCCAATGCCACACCTGGTGACTCGAAGCCATGCATGCCAGGCACTAGCACCTGAATGCAACACAACTCAGATATTTACCAGCCCCTAATTTTTCTGGTTCTTCATTCTTTTCTTTAACTTTCTAAGAATTTAGACATTCCAAAAGAGCACTTCGCTGATTATCTCTTTCGTTCTAACATGCAAGTCCCTAAAACACTGACATAAGAAGCTGACAGTAAGCCCTTTGAGAGTAAAATAAAATTATCTGAGTGTTATAGTAAGCTAGAGCTTTAAAAAAAGGAAACCATTAAAGAGAAAAGTGTTATCATAAACATTATTGCACCCTCGGCTAGTTTGTATATATTACCTATTTCTTTTCTCCATAAGCTTATTCCCTCTGTCCAGAACACCCTTATTTCCTTTTTTATAATGATTTTATTTCCCCTTCTTCCTTTGTTCTTGTTGCAATGTCTGGATAGTTATATACTAGGATACAGTGCACCATGGGTCCCACACTTAAAGTACCAGGTAAGACACCAAAAGCACCACTACAATTACACTCTGAAATGTGGGAATGCCAGGGACTGAATTCAAGCTTGTGTGTCTGCAAGGTAGGCTCTCCACCAATGAACCTCGGCCCTATGAGCTTAAAAGTCAGAACTGTTGAGAGTTCTGATACTGTCACTCACCATTCCTTAGAGTTAAGGAATCCTTCGTAATCTAGCTCAAAGGTCTTGTCCTTAGTAAATCTTCTATTATGACCTCAAAGTAGTTGCTCTGCAGTCTATGGTTCTACACATTGCCATGCTAGATAGGAATTAGTTTGCCTCAATAGATCCCTTTCTATACTGTTAAAAGTTCTGTGAAGTCCTTGAAGTCAGAAATAACAATTTATTGTTGTATCATTGATGCCTACTAGTTCAAGGATCTCCATAAACATTTCTAGAAGGCAAGAAAGCGGGAGACTAAAGTTGATTAACCATGAGACTCTATTTCTGTCTTGCCAATGACTAGCACTTAGGTATGTTTTATTCACCTACATTTTGACCTTTTTTTTTGTTTCAGTACCAAAATTCAGTCCTAAAGAACTTACTTTATCAATCATATAAATATATATATACACACAATAATTAGTAAAACTTTTTTTGTTCTTCCAGTTTATAAACTAGTTTTTATTCCTTAAAAGTTGTCACACATGACTTGTGCTTCCAATCCATGTTCTCCCTTGCTTGTCTTTATGTTTCCTTGCTGCCTGTGTTCTCGAACACATTTTACTTTCTCCTCTCCTTTCCTATCTTTCTTTCTCTCCCTCACATCTCTCTGAATAAATCTTAATAAAAATCTTGTTTCACCAAAATAATAGTTGTCACTTATATTTTATTAATTAAAAAATTGAAATCCGGCAAGTGGAAAATATGTACAGTTTAAAATTTACACACATTTTCATTATTATTTCAACTACCAGTAAGGTCACCAAATAAGAGTGACAAGATTCCATAATGACTTGCCATACCTCTGATTGCAGCCACTTTGTTTGAATCCAGGGGTTGGTTATATTTGGTTTCTGATGAACTGTAAGCCATGATTTCCTTTGAGAACACAATGCCAACCAGGTAGCAGATTGCATGCTCAGGACTGCTCTTCTGTTGTGCAATTGCCAAATGGTGACTAAGTATCCTGACATTTCTTTTTGGATCACCAAGATAAGCTGAAATATAGGAAACGTAAAATTCTTGTCCTTCGTGCAAGGCTACCATGAAATGTCCCCCATTAACATCTTTATCTCTAATTCACAAATTTTTACTATATTTTGCTACACCTTTCCTTAAACAGGCTTCTGATGTCATTTGAATATTAATATTTTTCACCTTTACTAGTCTTAAATTTGCTATACCTGAGTTAATCTGTTCAATGTCTTGAATACATTTTATTCATGAGTCCAAGATACCTGTTAATCTCTTATAATCAGAACTATATAACTAAGTGAATATATGCTCCCTGTAGACAATTATTTTTTGCTTTATGGGTCACACCCGGCAATGCATAGGGGTTACTCCTGACTCATGCTCTCAGGAATTAGTCGTGGTGTTCAGGGGACCATATGGGATGCTGGGAATCGAACCCAGGTTGGCCGCGAGCAAGGTAAATGTCCCATCTGCTGTGCTATCGCTCCAGCCGCTGAAGACAATTTTGAAAGTAATTTGTTATAATTAAAAATCCAAACAACTGTCCTATATATTTTTTACAATGATGAGTTCAGTTTCATCAATTTGCCCCCATGTTCTTAGTATATGAGAAAACTGATGCCTAGAGGAGGTTAAGTTATTTGAAAAAAGTCATACTGTCCATTTTAAAACCAGTATTAAAATCTGTCACTTTATAAGCAAGAGTTCTATCCTACTAACGTTGCTGTCTTGCATTCTTTTCTGTTTTTATGCCTTATGAAACAGCTGAAATATGATTTTGAGACCTTGTTTTTGTTTAATATTTTTAAGCTTTTCTCCAGTGTCTGTCTTTCTTTCTTTCTTTCTTTCTTTCTTTCTTTCTTTCACGTTTGCATTCCTTTCATGGATTCTTTGACAGGTGAGTTTCAGGTTGTACTTAAGTTCAAATAATTGTTTTAAAATAATTAAATAAAAGTTTTGGGCTGGAGTGATAGCACAGCAGTAGGGCGTTTGCCTTGCACGCAGCCAACATGGCCGACCCAAGTTCGATTCCTTCGCCCCTCTCGGAGAGCCCGGCAAGCTACCAAGAGGATCTCGCCCGCATGGCAGAGCCTGGCAAGCTACCCGTGATGTATTCGATATGCCAAATACAGTAACAAGAAGTTTCACAATGGAGACGTTACTGGGCCCACTCGAGCAAATCAATGAACAACAGAAGGACAGTGACTGGACAGTGAAATAAAAGTTTTATAATCAAATAAAAGTTTTCAAATAATTATCAGATCTGATCCTCCCGATTCTATTAATATGTTTGTTACTTCACTGGCAAATAAATTAGTAATTAAGTTAGAGAAGTGGCTTGAAGTCCAATAAGGAGTTGGAATTTGAATCCAGACCATCTGAATTGGGAACCCATACTCTTATAATAACCATTATGTTTTGCTGTGTCACATACTATATAGATATTCCAGGAATCATTAAGTCCTATGGTTGCTTATTTAGCTATTCAAATTTTTTCATGATTGAGCTGTGGCTCAGTGGCAAAGGCACATAGCTTGCAAATCTGAGACCTGGGTTTGTACCCCAGCACCGCACAAAAAGAACATTCCTGTACCAATATTTTAATACAAACCTTACTTTATGTTTGCTTATTTGTGCCAGGGCATAAATAAGGATATTTATACAAATTCTCCTCCAGAAAGGTTCTTCCAACTTATTCTTCTCCCAACAATCTTTATTTGTTTTTGGAGTTGGTTTTGGTTTTATTTATTTTTGGGGGGTTTTGTTTTTTTGTTTTGTTTTTTAGGGTTTTTTATTTTTTTGCTTTTTGAGCCACACCCAGAGATGCTCAGGGGTTACTCCTGGTCCTACACTCAGGAATTACTCCTGCTAGTGTGCTTGGGGGACCTTATGGGATGCCAGGGGTTGGACCCGGGTCGGCCATGTGCAAGGCAAATACCCTCCCCACTGTACTATCACTCTGGCCCCTCCCAACAACCTTTAGTACAAAATGTACAGCTTTCAATTTCTTTTAGAAGACTTAGTCAGACCACCTAAATGAAGTCTCTCCTTTAGGACAGTAGACAAACTACAGTCCCCAGGTCAATCCTGCAATGGGTTTTTGTAAATGAAGTTGCAGTGGCACATTGCCACACTCATTTATCTATCCACCTCGATAGCTGCTTCCACAATACTGTGACAGAGGTAATTACTTACAACAGAACCACAAAACCTAAAATATCCCCTCTTCCAACCCTTCATACAGAAAAGAGTTTGTTGGGTCCTACCCTAGGATATTAAGAAAGTTTTGTTACTCAAACTAGACAGCAAAGAGAATATGAAATACTAGGAAGGCTTGCCCTATTGACCACAAAGCCTACGGTCTCCATCTCTCTGCCACTGTGGCCTACTGGACTATACAACAGAATGTTAATAAACATAAGCTCTGAAGTCAGAGTGTACAGTTAAAGAAAGAGTTCTGGAACTCACCACCTCCATGTCTTAGGGAATAAGAGTAATTAGTGTATCTACATCACGGAACCATTATAAACATTAACAGGGGGACAAAGGCACACTCATTGAAAAGCATACTGCCTTGCACATAAGGCACATTTAATGAATGTTAGAAATTATTTTAATATTGCCTAAAGTTCAGCCCTCAAAATAGAAAACAAAGAAGCTTCGAATATCTTATTTCATGAACGTTGAAGAATACTGGTTAAATACCGCCACCTAAAATATGCATCACTTCACACTCACCCAAAAAGGATGTAGTAATGTAAGATGTTACGGCAGAACCTTGATCATTGTCATCTCCTGGTGTAGTTGGCTGTTTTGATGTCCCAGGGAGGTTTTCATCGTCTTCTATTTTTATTATTTCTACAAGTAGAAAAGTCATAAGATGGGGCCAGTGGTTAGGGTATATGCCTAGTATACACCTGACCCAGGTTCAATTCCTGGCACCATATGGTTCACAGAGCAAAGTTCGGTACATCCCTGAAGGTTCACGAAGACTGTATCCATCGTGGTCTTGGAGGCCCCCAACACCAGTAGGGTGACAGTGGTATCCCTGGCACTGAATGGTCCAAACAATGCTGCATCCTCAGGCCTTTGCTTAGAACTGCAGGTCTAGTGACTGAGAATGGCTACTGGGTCCCCAGACCTCCTGAACACCACGTCTCCAGACCTCCTGAACACCCTCAGAAGCACCCCTCCCCCCAAAAAATCTAAAAGAAAAATAAACTCAACCATAAATTGTATGTTCAGCAAAATATTCTTTCAAGCATGAAGGAGAAGAAAAACTCCTTCTCAAACCCACAAAACCTAAAGTATTTATCATTACAGCCTTAGTCTTAAAGAATAGCTAAATGAAGATCTTCCAATGAAAAGGTAATGCTGACAAAGGAATTTTCAAGCATTGAGGGATGAGAAAACAACAGAGCAAAAGTACTCATGCAGAAAAACACATACATTCACTGCACGGAACAATACAAAATGGAAGAACCACAATGAAAAGCAGTTTGGCAGTTTCTTTTTTTATAACTTTATTTCAATACTATGGTTTACAAAACTGTTCATAATACAGTAGTTTCGGGCATTCATTGTTGCAACACCAATCCCACAACAGTGTGACCTTCCCTCAACTACTGTTCCCAGTTTCCCACTCCCCACCACCCAAGTCTTAGAAAGCATGAAATAATATTTTTATACTGGTTACAAAAAATGATAAATGGCATTACCAAAAAATAGTTCAGTAAAAGAAAATTTGTGAAAACCATTACAGGCCCAGAAGTCACACCCACATCCTACAGCCTCTAGTATAGAAAAGGCCCAGCCTCACAGCTTCATAACTAATCTCGGAAGAGATTCAAAGCTGAGGATCATCCCAGTTCTACAGCTCTGAAGTGTGCAGTTGCAAACAAAACTATACAATACCCCCAAATTCCACCATACTGACAGCATAGTAGGAACACAGCAAATCAGTTGTATAAGTAGCATAGAAGACCAATAAGCAAAAGCAGTAACACAAAAGGCTCAACTAGCAACAAACCACTCAATAAATCTTCATATAATGACAGTTTCTTTTAAAACTAAACCTATCATCAGTGGAAATCACCTGGTTCATCTTCAATGGAGATGAGTATTTCTCAGAGAAGAATTGAGTTGCTATATGATCCAGCAATCCCATATCTCAGAATCCAGGTATCAACTCCCATTAAAAAGGACACATACACACAGGAAAATAGGATGCAAGGTATTAAAAGGGAAATACCTAGACCTTCCTTCACCCTAGAACTCAAGAAGGAGGACAAGGAAGGAAAGAAAACTAGGAGAGAATTAAAAGAGGCTATTAAAAGAGGGAATTAAAAGAAGTAGGCTAGGAGGAAGGGTCTCAGGTACATCTGTGATTTAGAGGTATGCACTATGTTTATTAGCTACACCAGAGTCAATAACACTGAAAGCAGGAGACCCAACTACAACAACCAAACTTTAAAATTTGGCTGTCCAGGAGGTAGAATGTGGGGTGGGAGGAAAACATGGGGACACTGGTGAAGGAAGTTGATCCGGGGTGGCAGGTTTGGATAGAATACTGAATGCCTGAAAACTAACCATGAATAACTTTGTAAATTACAGTATCTACTCCCAGAACAGAAAAGCATTCATTCAAAAAGAAAAGGTACACCATATTCATTGCAACACCCAGTACAATAGCGAAGATTTGGAATCAACCTAGATGTCCAACAATGGATCAACACATTAGTGGATCATGAAGATGTGGGGGGTGTGTGTGTGTCTGTGTTTATACACACATATATATATATATGTGTGTATATATAGCGAAATAGTATGCAGCTGTAAAGAATGATAAAAATCATGCAACCTGCTACTGCTACATGGATGGAATTGGAAGATATGTTAAATAAAGCCAGAAGGACAAACAACAACAATGATATCACTTATATGTGGTATTTAGAGTAACTGGATGAAGAAGTGCAATGGTTTAAAGGGGACGTATTTAAAGTAAAGGGGAAGGGGAGAAGAGATATATGAAAAGCAACAGAGGCAGGGGTCAAGGATATTCAAGGTACATTGGTGGTGTTAAGTAATTCTAGAGCTAAATATCCAAACCAGAGTCAACAACACTGAAATAATAAGACCCAAAATTTAATAACCAAACTTAAAAGGTGCCTGTCAAGATGGCAGGCTGGGGCTAGGGCGGTGGGGTAGGAGAGGGAACCTGGGAACACTGGTGGAGAGAAGTTGACACTAGTGAAGGGATCAGTGATGGAACATTTTCAAAAACTCAAGTATGAGTAACTTTGTAACTCACAATGCTTTAAATAAAATTTTGGGGAAAATATAATAAACAATTTTAAAAATAAACTTAGAGGGCTGAAGAGCTTATACAGGATTTTAGCATTTGCCTTGCATGTACCCAGTCATCAGACTCCACATGATGCCCTGATTAACACAGCTCCTTGCCAGGAACAATTCCCAAGCACAGACTTGGGTATAGCCAGATGTGACCTAATCCTCACCCAAAACAAACAAATATTTAATCTGCAATATGACATGACATAGCCAATTGTGATGTCACAAAAACTTGAGGCTGAGTGTTCTTGGCTATTCTATACAAGAGAATAAAAGCAGGTGAACAACCCAGACATGTTTTAACAGGCAAATGGTTAAGCCAACTGGTAAAGCCAGTAACACAGAATACTATTCAACAATAAAAATAGATAACTCAAAAAAAATCAGGAAAAATGTTAAACACAATAGGAGCATAAATTTTCAAATCACATGTACTAATTCACACAAAACTGAAAACACTACCTGGCACCTATAAAATAGTTAAAACTGAGTAGGGTAAAGAAACCTAAGTGGAATTAAGTTTTCAAAAATACAAAGTAAGTAAAATGGCAATACCAGTAAACTGTAATATTATACCAAGATCACCACTAGAAAAACTAATAGAGGCAATACACTCAAAACCTTAACCAAGATGGAACAGCAGAAAATCATCAGATAACCCACAAATAGAGGAGAAACAGAAAACTAAAAAGAGAAAAAAAAATAAAGTGGCACACCTTAGTCGTGGGCTGGAGCTATAGCACAGCAGGTAGGGCCATTTGCCTTGCACACAGCAGACCCAGCAGACCCAAGTTCAATTTCTCTGCCCCTCTCGGAGAGCTCGCCAAGCTACCGAGGGGATCTTGCCCGCACGGCAAAGCCTGGCAAGTTACCCGTGACGTATTCGATATGCCAAACACAGTAACAACAAGTCTCAAAATGGAGGCATTACAAGGCCCGCTCGAGCAAATCAATGAACAAGGGGAGGACAGCGCTACAGTGCTACCTTAGCCCTAAGATGTCACTAATTAGTAAAGTGAATGACCTAGTCATATCGATTAAATACCAGTAATTGATAAAATTTACTTGTTTTGGGAATCGCACCCAGTGGTGCTCAGGGTGTAATCCTGACTCTGTGCTCAGGGATCACTCCTGATAGGCTCCAGGGACCAAATAGGGTTCTGGAATTGAACCTAGGTTGGCCCCATGCAAGGCAAATTACTTACCTGCTGTATTATAACCCTACCCTAGTAATATTTCTCTTTGCTTTTTAGGTCACACCCGGCGCACAGGGGTTACTTCTGGCTCATGCACTCAGGAATTACTTCTGGCAGTGCTCAGGGGACCATATAGGATGCTAGGAATTGAACCCTGGTCAGCCGCATGCAAGGCAAATGCCTACCCGTTGTGCTATCGCTCCAGCCCGCCCAATAATATTTTTAAAAGACCAATTATATGCTATTTATAAGAAACTACAAATACTGACATATGTTGGTTTAAGGCAAAAGGACAGAACAGCATTATATACAATATTAATTCTTCTACCCACAAAAAGAGAGAAGCTATATTACTATCAGATAAAGTTACTACATTGTTTAGAATTAAAGGACCAACTTGAATATAATGATCCTAAATGTTACTTAGGACCCCAACATACCAAACAATAATCTCAAAATACATGAAACAAAAATAGGAAACTGAAAGAAATCAATTCCATCACTGAAGAAGAGTTTAGAAGGCCCCCCTCAGCAATTGATGGAACAAGCTGACCAAAAATCAACAGTAACATAAAAGACTTGAATAATATAATCAACCAACAAGATTCTCACTAAAATACATTTTACCCAATAAAAGCAATATACGTTTTGTTTGGTTTGGGGCCACACCCAGCTATGTTTGGTGCTGACTACTAGCTCTAGTGTTCAGGGATCACTCCTGGTAGGGCCACAGGAATCTTATGGTATGCAGGGTGTCAGTCGAATGCAAGGCAAGAGTCCCAACAACTTAACTATCTTCCCACCCCATAAAGGTAAAAGGTAAAGGTAAAGGCCCTCCCGTTGACCGTCGATTTGCTCGAGCGGGCCCAGTAACGTCTCCATTGGAGACTTTGTTGTTACTGTGTTTGGCATATCGAATACTCTCGGTAGCTTGCAGGGCTCTCCAAGAGGGGCGGAGGAATCGAACTCAGGTCAGCCACGCTGGCCGCTTGTAAGGTGAATGCCCTACCGCTGTGCTATCGCTCCAGCCGACCACCCCATACATTTTTTAAATTGTGAATCATTTACCAAGATAGACTCCATCTTGAATTGAAGAAAAACAAATTTTAAATAAATGATATAAAGTACATTTTTATCATAATGGAATAAAACTAAAGAAAAAATCTTCAAACATTTAGAAATTATATGGCACACTCTTAAATAATGCCATCAAAGAGAAAGACTCCAAGAAAATAATAAAATTCATGGAATTTAATGACTATATGACACATCAAAATATAGGGGCTGCAACTAAAGCATTAGTGCAAAACTTATAAAAAGCTTACATTAGAAAAATGGAGCAGACTCAGATTTCAAATTTAAAGTTCTGTATACCAAAAACTAAGAATAAACCCAAAATAAGCAAAAAGACTTCAATATATAAATAGTAAAGAAACTAAAAATATACACACAAATATAAAATAACAAAAATAGGAGACTAACACCTAAGAATGGCTGAGATTAGTACCAGGAGGTTCGCTCCATGGCTTGAAGTCGCACATGCTAGGGGAAAAGGCAGCTCAGATAGAGAAGGGAGCACCAAGTAAAGGGTTTAGGAGGATCCTCCCAGGATGGGAGAAGCATGCTGAAAGTAGAGTATAGACCGAACATGATTGCCACTCAATGCCTCTTTTGCAAACCACGGCACCCAAAAGCAGAGAGAGAACAAAAGGGAATGCCCTGCCACAGAGGCGGGGTGGGATGAGGGGTGGGGGTGGGAGGGATACTGGGATCATTGGGGGTGGAGAATGGGCACTGGTGGAGGGATGGGTACTCTATCATTGTATAACTGAAACCCAAGCACAAAAATTTTTAAGTCTACAACTGTGCCTCATGGTGTTTCACTAATAAAAATTTAAAAATAAATAAAAATAAATAAATGAAAAATATAGACACAAAAGGAACCCAATGAAGTAAAAAATCTGGTGTCTCACCTTGAAAATGCTAGATTGAAAGAAAGGGTGGGGAGCCATGACATGGTCTGCAAGTATCATGAGGGCACTGTGTAGGGTCTTAGGCATTTTGATAGTCGTGAGATAACTATATACACCAAAACTGTAATTGTCACACACTAGTGTAAATATATAACCTAAAATAGAATTATTTTGTGGTGGAGGGCTGGTCATGCAATAACACTGTACATCAACTAAGATTATTAATACTAGTGTAACCATGATTGTCACATGTTGTCCCATTGTTCATTGATTTGCTCAAGTCGGAACCAGTAACGTCTCCATTCGTCCCTGTCATGTGATAGTGTAGCCCAAAGGCGTATTGGCGGCTCTTTCAGAATCAGGGGAATGAGATTCATTATTGTTACTGTTTTTGGCATATCGAACACACCACAGGTAGCTTGCCAGGCTCTGCCGTGCGGGCAGGATACTCTCAGTAGTTTGCCGGGCTCTCCAAGAGGGATGGAGACTTTTGTTGTTTTATAGTTTCTAGATCTTAGCTATTGATGAGATTAAACTTTAAAAATAATTATAATTAAAGTTTTAAGAGGGCCCATATCACCCCGGTCTCCGGCAACTCAGCAGTCATGCTCATAAGCCACCTTTGGCTGGCACCAGATCTCATCACCGGCCACCATCCAGATCACATGTCCATCTCCCAGAAGGGAGCATAACATGATATTCGCCATAACCATGCTGCAGGATCCCAAGCCAGGCTGTTTTACTTGGGGAGCCCTGGTGGGAGGGGGGTGGGGGGAGGAGGTGAGACCCCTCCCAGCTCCAGCAGCTGAAAACCTCTCTAGAACTCTAGCGCAGCCATACTCAGGGCAATCAGGCAGAGTCTCATCCATGAGTGAACCTATGCCTGGACCACGTGGCTGCATTTGTGGCTGCGTAACACTTCATATCACGTACCCAACCCATGGGCTGGAGTGATAGCACAGCCAGTAGGGCGTCTGCCTTGCATGCGGCCAACCTGGGTTCAATTCCTCCATCCCTCTCTAAGAGCCTGGCAAGCTACCGAGAGTATCCTGCCCGCACTGCAAAGCCTGGCAAGCTCCCTGTGATGTATTTGATATGCCAAAAACAGTAACAAGTCTCACAATGAAGACTTTACTGGTGTCCGCTTGAGCAAATTGATGAACAATGGGAGGACAGTGCTACCCTACCCATACCCAAGAGTACCGTACCACATCTGATAGGGTACAAAGTATGAGGCAACCAATCTAAAAGGGAAATATTTTTCACAGATAGATAGATAGATAGATAAAAGCACACAAGTCTCAACCTCTAACAATATATTAGTGATCTCTCATAGAAGGCCTTAATGAACCCTGGGTAAAACAATATTTACCCACTTTCCTCTGAGGATACTCTTTTGTAGCATTTTCAGTGATTTTTGATAACAAACAACATAAATTTTATTGTTTCAGTTCTGCTTTGGGGCAGGGACTGGGTTTAGGGATGGAAACACCCAAAATATCATGTTTATTTATGGTGGAAATGTGTAATGGTGGTGTGAATATTAAATGTAATAAAATATTTTGAGCTAATTTATAAAATAAAAAATTCAAAAATAAAGAAAAAAAGAAAAAGAATTTCAAAAAATCCTTAACTATGAGTATTTTAAAGAAAAGCATTAATTGCAAACTAGCACATGGATAGGTAGTAAACATTGTTATCCAAAGGAGAACACATATGAAAACCATACTAAAGTATTAGTATACACTCATAAGAATGACTAAGTTCAGTAATAGTGAAAACATCATATATTGGTGAAGATGTAGAAAAACTGAATTATTCATACACTGATGGTGGAATAGAAAACAGCATAAATCATTCTGGAAAAAAATCTACCATTTCCTGTATAACTAAAATTGTAATTACCACATCACTCAGTAATTGTACTCTTGGGCACTAGTCATAGAACTATCAAAATATTCACACAGAAACCTGTACACAAGAGTTCACACAACATAAGGAGTACTTTACTCTTAGTAGCCAAAATGTGCAAACAATCCAGATATCCCTTAATGGGTGAATAAATTGTGGTACAACCATACCACAAATTAATTATCATCAATAAAAACAAACTACTTATATATATATACCAATTTGAAATGACTACATTATAAAGAGGGAGAACAGATTAGTACTTACCTAGGTTAAGAGTAAAAAGGGGGTGAGAGGAAGGGGGGCTGAGTTGTCTAAGGGAGGGAGATGGGTACAATGGTGATGGTGTGGTATTGGAATTATTTGCATGAGAAAGAATTAATATTATTCCTTAATGGTTTAAAAATAAATCAAGGAATGAATAATATTAAGGATGTGGATATGGTTATAGAAAGGCTTCCAGTGGTTTCTTGGAACAGAAAAGTTCTATATCATAAGTACAGTGAGTACCTGAACCTGAAGGTATCCCAAAATGCAGAGAAGTGTAAAACACATAGAATCAAAGAGTATAAGTAAAGCTAGAAGCATCTGAATAACTTTTAAGTTTTATTTTATTTTTTAAATATTAAATTGGGCAAAACTGGATAAAGGTTACACATTCTTATAGTTAAATGTGATTCTGAAATCAAAGTTAAAGCTTAACTTTGAAAAATCACTACTAAGAACATTATGAAGACTGATTAATCGAGATTTAAAAGCTATTTATAGTATCTATGACTTAGAACTCACCAGCACTTTCAGTGGAGACCAAAGACTCTGAATTAGCCTCTGCAGCACCAGCAACATTAGTTTTCCTTAAAGTTGACTGACTTGTTTCTGGTTTCAACTCTGTATGAACAACATTTAAACATGTAAAAACATTTCCAAGTGCTGAAAGACAAAAAAAATCAAACATAAAACTCAGCAGTGATTTTTACATCAGGTAAAATTATCCTTCAGAAACGGATAAAAATAAAGATATCTTTAAACTAAGGAAAAACATTTTTTACAACAAACACAGATTTATCCTTAAATAGCTAAAGGAAGAGTTAAAGACTAATAGAATAAAGGGAGGATTCTTCAAAGCATGAGGAAGAGCAATAGAAAGTAGAGAAACTAGATCCTACATAAATGCAAAATAGTACAGCTACAGTGGAACAGTTTGGCATTATTTTATAAAACTCTCGTTACCGTTAGCACAGGATCCAGCAACAGCGTTTTGGAGTATTATCACAGGAAAACAAAAATCTATATACACACAGACCTTTACATAATTGCTTATAGAAGCTTTACTTCTTATAACCCCAGATGAGACAAGCCAGATGTCTTTCAACTAGTGAACAGATAAAAACATGATACACACACATGATGGAATATTACCTAGCAATAGAAAGAATTACTATATACAGACAGCAATTTGGATGGCTCTCCAGATTTACAGTGATTGAAAAAAGGCAACCCCCAAAGTTCATGTACAATGTGATTTATATAAAACTCTTCAAATGACAAAATTGTAAAGATCAACAGAATGTTACTGTTTGGAAGGTTGGGGACATAAACAAGGACATGACCAAGGAGGAATAAAAATGTGAGAAGGAAAAACAAGGCATGGTTTTGATGTGTGGTAAATGATCCCTGTGGTGACAGAAATGTTCCAAATATGGACTGTGATGGAGTATATGAAACCAGTACAACTCATTAATTACTATAAAACTGAATATACAGGGGGCTGGAGAAATAGCACAGCGGGTAGAGCGTTTGCCTTGCACGCGGCCAACCCGGGTTCGATTTCCAGCACCCCATATGGTCCCCTGAGCACCGCCAGGAGTAACTCCTGAGTGCAGAGCCAGGATTAACCCCTGTGCATCTCCAGGTGTGACCCAAAAAGCAAAAAAAAAAAAAGAATATACATATATATACACAAACACACATAAAATCTACTGTATCTCAAAATTTGTGAATTGTGTCAATATTTCTATCCTAGAGAAGATACCAGTAAGACAATAATAATAGTTTAAAAAATGACCACTCTGGACAAGAACTGAGTGCTAAAAATAGTAGGTAAAGGGATAAACATAACGTCTCAGTACATAAATTGCAATTCGTAGTCCAGAAGAAAGAGTAAGAGAAAAAAAGAAGAAAACTGCCTGGCATAGAGGCAGGCTGGGGTGGAAGGGGGTAAGTGGGAAGGTGGGCAGGGCAGGAACTAGGACATTGGTGGTGAGAAATGTGCACTGATGAAGGAATGGGTATCAGAACATTGTATGACTGAAATTCATGAACAACCTTGTAACTGTGTATTGTGTAATGATCTAATAAAAAAAACCTGGTTTTAATACTGTACTCTAATTTTGTGAGACATTACTGATGGATAACTGACTGAGTCAAGTGTCTATGTGATGTCTGTATTATTTCTAACAACTGCCATGTGCAGTTGAAGTTTTTCTCAAAACTTTATTTTCAACTAATTGCTTTAGTTTCTAATTATACTCGCTGATAGTAACGGTGTTAATAAACCTGGATTAAACGGTGCTATTTTAAGCATCCTTTTCCTTTCAAACTCACCAAAATTGGCAGGCAAGAAAAAGCACGAAATATCTTGACCACTCCTATTTTCCAAGAAAAATGGGCAATTCACCACCTGAGTGTTCTTCTGTACGCCGTTTTCTGTTTTGACCACCACCTCTGAGGAAAACATTTTTTAAACACTATAAGATTCCCAATCTCATATTCTATATACCATAAAACTATCCTTTGCTGTAATGAAGTAATGATTCAATGTTAGACACTGACAAAGGAAAAGTATTTGTCACCAACTGACTTGTGCTTTTAAAACAGCTAAAGGAAAAAATCTTCAAAGAGAAAACTAATGCAAGAATTTTAGAACATCAAGAAGGAAAAGAGGTGCCAGACTACAGCAGGTAGGGCGTTTGCCTTGCACATGGCCAACCTGGGCTTAATCCCCAGCATCCCATATGGTCCCTGAGCAGCAGAAGGAGTAATTCCAAGTGCAGAGCCAGGAGTAACCCCTGAGCATTGCTGGGTGTAACCCAAAAAGACAAAAGAGGAAAAGAAATGATTTAAAGAGCAGAAATATGAACATAGCCTACGTTGGCAGGAATGGAAAAGGACACAGGTGCAATGGAAAACAGCTTGTCAGGGTACTTTTTAAATAAAGCTAAACATGTCATTTCTAACACTTTCAACAATCGCACTTTGGGGCATTTATCCCAGAGAAATGAAGACTTTTGTGAGTGAATGGAATTTAAAACTTATTAATGAGTACTCATAGAAGCTTTAGCCCTGACAGCCAAAGAAAGGAACCAGAGGTTCTCAATGGATACAAGTCATAGTGCATCCAAACCATGAAACACTACTCAGTAATTAAAACTTTACGAGGATGCTTACACATACAACAGTGTGGCTATGTCCCCAGGCAACTGCACTAAGGGAAAGAGACCATTTAAAGTCACGATTCCCTTTATGTAATAATGTTGAAGAGACAAATTCTAGATCTGGTGAACATATTTGTGGTTGCCAGCAGTTAAAGAGATTGAAGATAGGAGCAGGCAAAAACTGTTAAGTAAAGAGAGACAGGCATAAAATCTGGGAAAAAACAGAGTGCCCGAGAACAGATGACTGGTTAAAGAAACTGGTACATCTACACAATGGAGTACTATGCAGCTGTTAGAAAAGGGGAAAGGGCTGCTCAGATAGAGAAGGGAACACCAAGTAAAGGGTGTAGGGAGGATCCTCCCAAGATGGGAGATGCATGCTGAAAGTACACTATGCACCAAACATGATTGCCACTCAATGCCTCTTCTGCAAATCTCAGCAAGCAACCAACAGGAGAGAGAGAACAAAAGGAAATTCCCTGCCACAGAGGCGGGATGGGATGAGGGGAGGGATACTGGGATCACTGGGGGTGGAGAATGGACACTGGTAGAGGGATGGGTACTTTATCATTGTGTAACTGAAACCCAAGCACAAAAACTTGTAATGTCCACAACTGCATCTCATAGTGTTTCACTAATAAAAATTTAAAAAAGAGAGAGAGATAGGCATGGTTAAAACAGCACTGTGAGATCAGGGATGTAACTCAGTGGTAAAGCACATGTCCTTGTACATGGAGGACCTGGGTTCGAATTCCTGGGTTCACAAAAAAAGGTACTGTAAGGGATGATGGTAGCGAGAGACCTGTTTTCACTAACACTGCCTCTTCGTCTGTAGCAGAGCATATGTGAACCCACCACATAAGATAGTGAGATTATAAAGAACTAAATATATACACGAACACAAATGAGTACAAGTGAAAATGCAGGGATCTCCGTAATATCCCTGGGCAGTATTATGTTAATATCCTGGCTGTGATTGTTTTCTATTGTTTTACAAGCTGTCATCCTTGGGGAAAATTGGGCAACAGATATTTAAGATCTCTCTGTATTATTTATTACAGCTGCATGTACATCCACATTTTCTGAAAATAGAAAAGGCTACTATTATCTTACACTAAGAATGCTGATGAACCTAGACTAAATATGCTCCATGTTGTAAGTAACAATTCAATTTCAACAGAAAAGGGAGATTCCAGAGACATAATGAGGAAATATCTTGGCTGACATATTCCGATAGAAGTGGACAATCGGTTGTCTCAGAGTTCTTTTTCCAAAAGAGAACTTACTCGAACCTTTGCCAAAATTTATAAAGAAAATATTTTAAGTAATGAATAATTATCAGACAACATTACCTTTCAACAGCCACAATGTGGATGAACCTAATCATGAACATTCACAATGTGAATGATGCTAAGTGAGGTAAGCAGAGAAAGAGAAATACTACATGCCAAGAACTCATGTGCACAATTCTTTTATTTTTGAGTGGGAGGAAGGAAGATTGTACCACTCCAGGTAGTGCATAGGAAACCATGTAGTATCAATGATCAAACCAGGGCTGGCCTCATGCAAGATAAGTGTCTTAAACCTTGTACTATTCCTCTGACCACTCATGTGAAATCTTAAAAAATAAAAAGTTGATCAAGCTGCTGAGTTTGTTTCTTAGAATTGCTGTAATACATAAATAAATAAATAAATAGATAAACAGAAGTCAGGCCCAGGGATGCATCTCAGTGGCACGGTGTATATCTCGGTGGTACAATGATATTCCTCGCATGCATGAAGACTCAGGTTCCATCTCCATGCACTGCTCCACATTACTGATTTCAATCCCTGGTGCTGTCAGTGTAATCCCCAGCATCTCAAGTGTATGACCCCAGAGTACAAGCAAATGTGTGCAATCCTGAGACCATGCAACAACAACAAAGGGAAGAGAATTGGAGGATGGGTGGGAAGGCTGAATTCATAGAAAGTGAAAATAGAATAGTAGCTGTTAGGGCAGGGTGAGGGGTAAAGGAGTCATTGGAGGAAGCTATTAAAAGTGCAAACTTTCAGTTATAAGTGAGTAAAGTCAAACAACTGTCTAATGTGTTACATGAGTAATATAGATAACACCGCATTGTATAACTGAAATTTACCAGATGAGAACTTAAGCATTCTTGCCACACACACACACACAAAAATAAATAAAAAAGGTGAATATGTGGGGCTGGAGAAATAGCACAGCGGGTTGGGCATTTGCCCTGCACACAGCCGACCTAGGTTCGATTCCCAGCATCCCATATGGTCCCCGGAGCACCGCCAGGAGTAATTCCTGAGTGCGTGAACCAGGAGTAACTCCTGTGCATCGTCAGGCATGACCCAAAAAAGAAAGAAAAAAGGTGAATATGTGAGATGATGGATGTGTTTCTCAAAACATCACATTATACACTTCAAATAGATTATAAATTTGTTTTACAATTTATATTTCAGGAAAGCTGAAGAATTGAACATTCAGATTTTTTTAAAAAATAATGAGGGAAGATAAAGACATTTTCAAGTGAAAGAAAACTTGCAGACTTACACTTGAGTATGACTAAAGTTTTCAAACAGAATGAAATGATAAAAGAGGAAAATGTAGCACATCAAAAAGGAAAAAACAAAGAAAGGTGGCAGAAATGTGGCTGCAGAAAAAGTGGATCACACAGACAGAGCTGGCAGCTAAGTCAAATGCTATAGAATATATAAGGAAAATGTTTTATTTACTTCCAAAACTACATATGTGATTACCACAAAACCAAATATTTTTACTCTCGGGCATTATTTACAATACATTAAAGCAACTTTACAAAAAAACCTGCACATGAATGGCGATAACCAATTTTACTAAGCACAGTGAAGTGCAGATCTTTAACACATTAAAAGATCTAAATACTGGTATCCCTCTATCTCATAGACTAACGACAGTGAAAATTTTAAAAAAATAAAGAAATTTAAAAAAAATATATATAACAATTCACATAAATCTCAATCTTCAAGGACTTGGGCTGAGGTGGGTGTGGTTACAAAAGATGCAGATGAGGCAAACTATGACAAAGGCAATGTTTCATATCTTGATTTCAGTGGTAGAGAAGCAAAGCTATTCTTTGATTGCATCAATATCAGTATCTTGGCTACGATGTTCTATTTCAGTTCTGCAAGATGTTCTTACCAGGAAAAAATGGGTAAAGTATAAATGAGATCTTGATTTCTTACAATTACATGTGTATCTGAAATCACTACAACAATCAAAGTCTAGGTTCAAAAAGTACTACCACTAGTTTACATTACTGGCATGGGACAATCTACATTAAACAGTGTTAGCTGAAATATGTATCTTTTCAAACTCACCCAAATTGGGCATGACCGAGATATAGCAGGTAGGCTGTGGGGTACTCGAAGCAGTTGGCTGACTCGGAGGCTGGGAACTCTCTTGCACACTGGATTCTACATTTGTCTGCTCATCTACAAGTATAACTTTTTCTAATGCTGTAAGACAAGAACTCTCAACTGTGAATTCCATATTAGGTGAGATTATTTTTCAGGAAAGAAGGAAAAATAAAGACATTCTGAGAGAAAGGAAAACATTTTTTAATTTTCCTGGACCCAACGGTCTCACAAAAGAACAGCTAGAGTAAAATCTTCACACAAAACCATATGAGAAAGGATCTTTAAATATCAGGGGACAGGAAAAACATGTAAAAATCAGAAAGATGGCTGGAGAGATTGGTTCAATTATGCATTGCTATTGGGAATGTAAAATGGCAAGTCTCTCTGGAAAATGGGTAGCTTTGTATAAAACCAAACATGTTACTATCCTAAGATCTGACAATCACACTCTAAGCACTTATAACAAGTGAATGAAACATTTATACAAATTTCATGCATAAATGTTCCTAGTATCTTTACTTGTTATATCTAAAAACTTAGGAAAAAACAGATGTCCTTGGCCAGAGAGACAGTACAGAGCACATGCTTTGCACATACTCGATCCGAGTTCAATCCCTGGCCCTACATGGTACACCAGGCATTCACCATGTAGAGGCCTGGAGAATCCTGAACACCACTAGGGTAGCTCCGGTCTTATACTGGGGATCCCAAGCAGCACATCTTTGACATTGAATCACCATCTCAGCTGAAGAAAAAAAAATAGATGGCCTTCAATGGATGCATTTTGTTTTGTTTTGCTTTGCTTTGGGGGCCTTCCAAAGCAGCGGAGTTTGGTCATCACTCACAGCCATATTTAACCTAATTGTAAAGGCAAAACCAGTTCAAAATTCATGAGCCCAGTGATGTGGTGGGGCCCAGTGATGCTAGGGTCCACCAAGACAACCCCAATGGAGAACTGAGCTGAGGTCCTATTGCATGGCAGGTATGTGCTCCAGACCTTTTATTTATCTCCACAGCCCATGAATGAAAAAAAAATTCAAGGCCAAGGTGCAGCTCAAAGTAGAATACCTGCCTTACACTTCTGAAGCCCTAGGTTTGAGCACCCCCACCACACACACACAAAAACTTACAAGATTGCATGTGTAACTCTTCATCAATTAAAGACAATGATTAAAACACATTTACATGAATAACATTAAACTGTGTGCATGAATAACAGGAACCTGAACATTATAACCCTATTTTTTTACTATAGTAAAAAAATTCTTTCAATGTGTACAGGAATATGAATATCTGCTTTGCTCCTATGACTAAAAGTATAACAAAATATCAGATGTCTTTTGGGAATTCCTATTGGTCCAGCCTTTTTGGAAAACAACATGAGCATTCCTCAAAAAACTAGAAATTGCACTTCCATATGACCCAGCAATACCACTTCTGGATATGTATTCCAGGGGTGCAAAAAAGCAGAGTAGGAATGACATCTGCACTTGTATGTTCATTGCAGTACTGTTCACAATAGATACAATCTGTAAACAACCCAAATGCCCGAGAACAGATGACTGGTTAAAGAAACTATGGTATATCTACACAACGGAATACTATGCAGCTGTTAGAAAAGATGAAGTCATGAAATGTGCTAGTAAGTGGATAGACAGAAAGTATCATTGCAAGTTAAATAAGTTAGAAATAGAAGAACAAATGTGCTAGTAAGTGGATAGACAGAGTATCACTGCAAGTAAAATGAGTTAGAAAGAACAGACACAGAATGCCCGAACTCATTTGCAGAATATTAAGTAACATAATATCATATTAACACCCAAGGACAGTAGACACAAGGGCCATGAATACTGCTCCATGGTTGGAAGGCTGCCTCATATACTGGGGGGAGAATGCAGTTGGGATGAGGAATGGACCACTAAGTCAATGATGGTTGGAGAGATCGCTCAGGATGGGAGATGTTTGTGCTTGAAAATAGATAGAGAACCAAACACGATGGCTTCTCAGTATCTGTATTGCAAACCATAATGCCCAAAGTAAAGATAAGCGTAAAAAGGAAAATGCCTGCCATAGAGGTAGGGGGTGTGATTGGGTGGGAGTGGCTGGGGACATTGGTGGTGGAAAATATACACTGGTGGAAGGATGAGTGTTCGATCATTGTATGACTGAAACTCAGTTATGAAAGTTTTGTAACTGTCTCACTGTGATTCAATTAAAAAAATAAAAATAAAATTTAAAAATATCAGATGTCTTTCAATAGGTAAGTGGTTAAACAAAATGTAGCATATCCACAGCATGGAATACTATTCAATAGGAATATATGATGAATGCATACAACAAGTTGATTGAGTCTTCACGGAATTATGATGGAAAAGACTCCAATCCGGGGATGGGTATTTGATCATTGTATAATTGAAACACAAGCACAAAAATTTGTAAGTCTACAACTGTACCTCACAGTGTCTCACTAATAAAAATTTAAAAAAAAAACGCCAATCCACAATGTAAGGTAATTTTTCCCTTTTTGGGTCACACCTGGCAATGCACAGGGGTTACTTCTGGCTCTACACTCAGGAATTACCCCAGGCGATGCTCATGGGATGCTGGGAATCGAACCCAGGTCAGGCGCATGCAAGGCAAACTGCCTACCTGCTGTGCTATTGCTCCAGCCCCAATGTAAGGTAATTTTTATCCCACTTATATAGCATTCTTTTGTTTTGTTTTGTTTTGGTTTTTTTTTTTGCTTTTTGGGTCACACCGGCAATGCTCAGGGGTTACTCCTGGCTCATGCACCCAGGAATTGCTCCTGGCGGTGCTCGGGGGACCATATGGGATGCTGGGAATCGAACCCGTGTTGGGCATGTTGGCTGCGTGCAAAGCAAACACCCTACCCGCTGTGCTATCGCTCCAGCCCCTTATATAGCATTCTTAAGAGAGAAAATTACAGAAAAGAAATACCAGTGGCAGTGCAGTGTGAAGGATGGATCCTTCACAGGGGATGGAAAAGGAAGTGAGGTTGTAAAGGAGCAATATAAGTAAATTAAAGGATCTTCACATTGACTCTAGTGGTAGATGATTTTGGTGGCAGATGCACAAGCCTTAACTACACACATGAAACAAGTACACAGACAGATACAAGGTTAATTGGTTAATCTCAGTAACACGGGTGAGCTATATCGACATCAGACTGTAATACTATGCCATTAGTTACAAGATGCAATCATTGGAAAAAACAGGTGAAAACTAAAAAGAGAATGTGTTATTTCTTACAACCCCAAATGAATCTTAAATTACATCAAAATTAAAAATTTGTCCAGTATTGACGATATTGGTAAATCCAGATGAAACAGTGCTACCTGTATCATTTGAAACTCACCACAATTGGGTGGAATGGAGATAGATGAAGTGTCAGCACGAGGGTTATTGATATTTCCCAATAAAGCTGGATAATACGTTTTCTCAGAATTGTTTTCCAGGCCGCTTTCTCTGTTTCCTGGCACTTCAATAAGTATTAATTTTTCAGCATCTGAAAGACAAATTCTCAACTGTGGAGTCTATATAAGGCAAAACTACTCTTTAGGGAAAATGTAAAAAAGACATTCTAAAACAAAGAAAAATGAAAAGAACGCGTCCTGAGAAAACTTACCCATACATAAAAGCTAAAGGAAACTCCTCAAACAGAAAGGATATGCGGAAGGAAATCTGGAACACCAGGAAGGAAGAAAAAACAGTGAGAAGAGCAGAAGCACAGACTGGAGAAAAGTTTATCACTAACAACACTGCTGGTAAGAATGTAAAATGGCACAGCTTCTCTGAAAAACTGTTAAGGCAGTTAGCTTATCAGACTGAATATATTACCATGAGGCCCAATAACTGCACTCATGGCATTCGTGTCAGAAAAATAAAACTTACATATATACAAAAATCTGTGTCCGACTAGACATAGTAACTTTACTCCTAAATACCAAAAATGTGGCAGGACAGGAAGCCTAATGTCCTTCAATGGGTGAACTGTTAACAGTCTCTTCATGGTAAAGCCAAGGAATACTATTCAGCCACAAAAAGGGAGAAGATGTGTTACATGCAAGGGTCAGTGCTCAGGGGTCAGTCCCAGCAGTGCTTCAGGAAGGACTTGTACCTACATGGAAAGAATGCACTCCACTCTGTGAAGCTGTCTCCGGCCCACACAATTCCTTCTATATTATATTCTTGAAGTAACAAGAAGACTACAGAGTCCGGAGTTTGGCAGGAGTTTGGAAACAGGCAGTGAGGAAGTCAAGGGTGATCTCAGAGAAGCATCAGTATAAAAGAGCAAGCAAGATGAGGAGTTCGATGGTGATGGAAATGTTCTGCATCTTTACCGGCAGCAGATATCCAATCTACTCATGGGACAGATACATAATACACAAATTATGTATAAAACTCAACATCTCAATAATATCTACATTTTGTATCACTAGCAACACCCTGGTTCTATTTAAGTTTCACCAAGTGATAATATTTGGAAGAAAGGTATCAAATATAAAAGAGATCTCAATAATCTATTTCTGAACATACTTGTTAATATAAACTGATTTATATTAACTTGTAAGTTGAAATAGTACACATGAACTTCCACTAGCTTGCACCAGGACTGTGAATCTTAATTAAACAGTGCCACTTGTAATGCCTAATACTTAAAACTCACCAAAATTGGGTGGGATCCCACCAGATGAGGATTCGCCACCATCATTTCCCACTAATGTTGAGGAATTAATTGTCTTAAGTCTTTCTTCCAGTGTGCTTTCTGATATTTCTGGCATTTCAACCAGTATGAATTTTTCAACTGAAAGAAAAGAATTCTCAAACATTAGTGCTAACAAGACAAAACTACCTCTTAGGAATCTGTAGAAAGGACAACCTAAAACGAAGGAAAATGAAAAGAGTATGTCCTGAGAAGACTTAGCCATACAGAAAGAAAACTCATCAAACAGAAAGGATATGCTGAAGAGAATTTAGAACACCAGGAAGAAAGGAAGAATGAGAAACACAGAAGCATGGACTAGATAAAATGGATCACCAATAACAATGCTGGTAAAAATGAAAGATGACAGATTTCTATGCAAACTTACTTTTTCTTAAACTGAGCATGCTATTACCATGAGGCCCAACAATGGCACTTTTGGCATTGATGACAGAGAAACAAAACTTACACATGTATAAAAATCAGTACATGGCTGATCATAATAGTTTTACTCCTAAATACCAAAAAATGGGAGGAGCAGGAAGTCTAATGTCCTTCAATAGGTCAACCGCTAAAAGCAATCAATCGCTGCATGGTGAAGCCAAGGAATACTATTCAGCCACTGAAAGGTAAGTTGTGTTATATGCAACAACGTAGGTAACTCATCAAGTAAAACAAAACCAAGTCTGAGAGGTTATATGCCATAAAGTTTCTTTGATATTATACTTCTTAGATGAAGAAAACTATAAAGTCCCGAGTTTGGAAACAGGCAATGAGGAAGTCAAAGGTCAGAAAAGTAGTATCAGAATAAAAAAGCAAACAATATGAAGGCTTTTGTGGTGATGAAAATGTTATGCATCTTAACTGTAGCGGTAGAGATCAAACATACCATTGTTAGATTACTTAAACAGACACACATACACAAATTACAAATAAAACTGGGCATCTCAATTACACGTGCTCTGTACCTCTGTCAACACCTTGACTGCTCTATTTAACGATAGTTTTACCAAGTGTTACCATTTGGGAGAAAGGGATCAAGTGTAAAAGGGATTTCAATATTTTTGAACATCCATGTAATAAATCTAAATGGATTTTGCATTTGAAAGTTTAATTTTACACATGAGCTTCCACTAGCTTACATCATAATGTTGGCAGATCTCAATTAAATAATGCCACTTATAATACCTGACACCTGAGACTCACCACAATTGGATGGGACACCACCAGATGATGAAGGTTGTTCACTGCGATTTACCAGCAAAGTACCGCAATTCATAGTCCTAGGGGTGACTTCTGATGCATCTACAAAAACAGTTTTAAGTACTAAAAAATCTCAACTATTAATTCTATACAAATGAAACCTTATTAATGTATGATAAATGACATCCACACATGAAGGAAAACTGAAAGAAACTTAAGAGTCTTTCAGACTTCCCTTTTCAAAAAATGGCTGAAAGGGGCCCCAATAGAGTACAACTGTTTGGGTGTCTAGCATGTGATAATCCAAGTTCAATCCTGAATACCATCTGGTCCTTCAAGCATAGCCAGTGCAGGCCTAGAGGAACCCAAGCATCACCAGAGTGGCTGGGGTAATCCCTGGCACTACAGGGCCTAAGAGAATCACATCCTCAGGCCCTTTCACTGAACCACTGAACTGATTGGCTAAGAACCTCCAGTGGGGCCCTGGGCCTCCTGAACACCACTTAGGAGGCCCCGTAGAAAGAGGATGAATGAAAATCTTCAAGCAAAAGATTTAATGGGAGAGTGGGCCTTTGAGCCTCAAGAAGAAACAGACATAAAAACGTAAGAAAATGCACGCAGGGAATCATATCACTTATATATTACTGGTAGTTGTTAAATGGAATTTTCACTGTTCCTACAACTAAATATGACCACTGCCATCAAGATTATTTTAATTACAAAATATCTGCTGGTATTCTGCACTAAGGAGGTGTTTTTCATCTAAAGAGTGTGCTTAATAATATGTACTACTTCAAATTCACCAACATTCAAAAGGATGCAGACAGGTGAACAAGAATGAGTGCTTGGACTCTTGTTGGCATCTCCTAGTAAAGTGGAGTTATTAATTTTCTCAGAGGTGATTACCAAACTAGGTTTTCTTTAAAGCAGAATTACTATAGTGCCTGCTACATCACCTAAACGAATGAGCTAACACCATAGGTACTTTGAGCATCGCCACTAGAATCCAGCGAGAAGTCAGACCTGAAAATGTGTTACCTGATCCTAACTGCTGTGCCAGTGAGCGTGTGGAGATTATTCGGGGTATTTCTGAGTTTTCCATGAGGATCAGTCTATCTAGCAGAATAGATGCTCTCACAGTGCTTCCACTGTCACTTCTGTTCCGTATGTCCACTGGTATCAAGAAGTAACCATTTTCCTATTTAAGATCAAAGAATAGAAGAGATTGAAGTCTTTTCTTCCCCTGTATCAGATTTTAATCTCTCCATAAGGATTTTAATCTCTCCTTGAGGTGTACCATCCAAAGTTCTGCAAATCCAAATAACCTACAAAATTCCACAAACCCAGTACAAATAAACTGTGAGTTAAAATAAGAATAAATTATAGTTAGTGAATGTATTAATGCCTATTTTCTTAGCAATATCATTTTCTACCGTTATGGATAAACAGAATTTTTACTCGTATGATTTTTATTCTACAGCCTTATATTCTCAGTATATGTTATACATTATAGTTAAAAACATAAAAATATTCAATATCATGTATCCTCAAACCTGAATTTTTGAATGCTGATTCTTGCAACAGAATTAGTCCAACAGAATTTCAGTCTTCCATCTGCTACTAAAGTAAATATAGATCGGTCTTCCTCATCTCATGATTATTTGTTCATTCTCACATCTGACTGAAATTTTTATAAACAGAGGTTTTATCGAAGTAGTAAAACAACTTGTACACTTACATTGCTCTGCAATGGGGTCTCCAGAATGCGCTGCATATTTGAGACAAGTCCACAAAGTTGATAAACCTGTCTGTTCGTGTTTTCAATCATTTCTCCCAAATGCTATTGTAATAAAAAAAATAGCTCTTATTTCAAATAAAACTAATACCCAAAGAGCACTAACCCAAATCTTCAATACTAGAAACAAAGTTCTCAGGCCATGAGAAATTTTGTTATCCACTTGATGCCGAGCTGGTTGATGATAAAGCAAAGCTATCTGAGTTAAGGAGTGGCAACTTAATTATCCCATGTCATATAGGCACTTAAAGAAGCATCAGTTTCCAAAAGTGAATGCACCAGGATTGCTGTAAGTCAGAAATATACAATGGAGCCATTTTACATTGAGAATGTGCCACCGTAGGAAAAAAAAATTTAAATAAAGGTATAAGAAGGAGAAGATATGAAAAGTCAAAGGTGGGCTACCTGTTTCTTTCAACAGCAGTATCTTGACAGGCATATGGGCATTTTTTTACAATTAGTCTAAATTAGCTAATTTTATTAAGTATGTTATAAAAATCAAACACTGAACAATCTAGATGAAAAAGACAACTGTACTTGATCAGTTAGGGTCGGCTTTTTTAAGCTACAAAACCCTATTTTTATTTCATTTTTTCACCCAAGGATGCTGTTCTAACTAGAAATTTCTATATATATCATGAGAGTGACAGTGACACATGACCTAACACAGAAAAATTCATATTGTCAAATGACTTTAAATGAACCAAAGGAAGCTTTGATTTGCTATTTTAGAAAACTACATTTAAGAAACTCTGATATTTCACAACTCTTGTAGAGTTCCAGAAATTTGTGCTAAGTGAAGTTGGAAGAATGACAAATACTGGATGTTCCCATTCGTGTGATATATAGAGGAACAAGGCAAATAAATAAATGTTCGACAAAAATGAACCCTAGACTCTGACCACAAAAGGGATAGAGGAGTTGAGTTGAAGGGTTCAGTGGACTGTAGTGGAGGGATATTGGCACTTTGGTGTCAGAATGAAGTAAAAAAATTGTACCCCTAAAACATAAAAATATTTACACTCTTGTAAACCAACAAAGACACCTCAATTTAAAAAATTATGTCACAGTCATGAAAAACAAGGCAAAGAATAAAAACAGCCAGAGGTTGGGGAAAAAAAAGATGTTAATGTGCTGGTTTTGCAAACTGTACTGTGGTTATACAATTACCATAATAGCAAGTTTTACAGGTAAACTGACATCAAGAGCAGCTGTGTGAAGGTTGAGTATAAACACAATTTTATTTGGTAATCTCTTGCAAACCCTCTTCATATCTAAAATTATTTCAAATTTTAGAGAAACTACCAGCACAAGGTAAGAAACTGCTTAAGATTTTTTTAAGGCCAAGAGGAAACAAATTCTTAACATAAGCTCACTGTATTATAAGAAAACCTTACAAATTCATGAGAAATTATTCCTCTAATTCAAGTGAAGAGTTAACTCCAGTTTATGAAAGCTGAAAAAGAATGTACATAATTTTCTTTTGATAGTGCTACTGGATTTGGCAATTAGCAGTTATTATATACTCAGTTTGATACACATTATTTAATAGTACTTCTACTTTTTTCAAAAACTTTGTCTAAGAAAGATTTATTAATAAACAAAAATGAAATATGAAAGAAAAGTTCAGGACTTAGATTTTGCTTTCAAGAAGCACCGAAGTCCTAAGGGAACCTTTACCCACTGAAAATACAACAGTATGAAAGATGTACCTATAGAACCACTTAGTACAACTATACTAAAGATACAGTTCTCTAGAAAGATTAATTACATTCATACTTAGGGGAGAAAGTCATCTTCAAGTAATCAAGCACCAAAAGTACTTTTAAAAGCAAGTATTTCTGGGACAAGGCACATGGTACAGAATGGCAAGGCCTATATCTGGCAAGCGTAAGGCCCTGAGTTTAATCCCCACCCCCACTAACACCTGAGCATCACCAGATATAACCTTGGTGAACTCCAAGCACTTCCAGGTGTGGCCGCAATTGTTTTTAAAAAGAAAGCAAATATTTCTAACCACAAACAAAGAACCAAACAGCTTGTGGCTTTTGATTTTCAAATAATCCAACAGTGACACTCAGTGGACAGAACAGGAAAATACTTAAACATGTATTTTTCTTAAGAAACTACTCCTTAAGCCACCTTACCTTTTTTGAAGGAATATAAACACAAAAAGCCATCATACTTAATTATAATACCTCTTTATTCTAAGGATGAATTATGGACTATAAGAATCGTGGAGGGGATACAGGGAATCAAACCCAGGGTCTCATACATGAATCCTCAGTCCTAAGAATAATTTTAAAATAAATGAAGTAGGGGCCAGCAAGATAGTACTGCAGGAAAGGCACTTGCAGGGCGCCAACCCAGGTTCAATCTCCAGCATCCCACATGGTTCCCCAACCCCACCAGAGTGATTCCTCAGTGCAGAGCCAGGAGTATGCCCTTAGCACTACTGGGTATGGCCCAAGAAGAAAAAACAGAAAAACCATACAAAGTAGTTAACAATGTCTTTGTTTGAAAAATTATCAGAGTCTGAGTCATCCCTACATTACAAACTCATTAGACATCCAAATTCAAATGGAATAAGAACAGGTTAATAATTCTAATAAATAAATAATATTTCCCTTGTATAGAGCTGTATGCTTTCCAAAGTGCTTTCATTTAATGTCATTAACCATGACTCTTGGCATGTAGTTCATATACCCAAAGATGAGAATATAGGGTCTGAGAAAAGTTAAGAGAACTATCTACTTATTTTCTTTCAACTACCAATTCATATGTATAAAAGATTAAAAACCACTGGTCTATCACAGTAATTATAAATTGCCTTTGCTTATAAAAACTTCACCTACCGTACAACCCAGTATTTCTACTAGTTTTTAACTCAAGCTAAATATAATCTTATGTTTGTTCACAGTGACTTCCATAATCAAAGTTTACAGTCACTTAAATCATAAAAGCCCCAAAGTTGGAACAACCTAAATATTCATGAAAAAGGGAATTGGGGGCTGTTGACTGTTTTTCAGAGGATAGGGCATCTGTCTTGCAGGCAGCCAACATGGATTCAATCACAAGCACCCCATATAGTGCCCTGAACACCACCAGAAGTGATCCCTAAGCACAGAGCCAGGAGTAAACCCTGAGAACTGCCAAGTGTGACCGCCCCCCCCCCAAAAAAACCCAAAATAATTAATTTTTAATTCTAATAGTCACTGAATGACTTATTACTCAATAATAAGTGGGAATAAAATATTGCTACAACTAGGTGAATTCCTGAAACATTAAGGAAAATAAACTACGACAGGAAAGAACATGTCATACAATTCTATATATAGGACATACTTTATAGGACAGTCCAACTAATGTACAAAGGAAAAAAACATCAAATAGTATTTCTCCAAGGTTCGCAGAGATCAGAGCTTAATGAGAAGAGGCATAAGGAAACATTCTGGGAAATTATCTTTATCTTGATAGGGGTATAGGTCTACATATTTGTTAAAACTCATCAAAATGGACTCCTCAGAACTGTGCTCTTCACTGTATGCATTTCAATTCTATCTTAAAAGAAAGGAAATACGGTAGGGAGGGAGAGAGATTTTCATTTTAACACACAAACCTGAGTATTCTCCCCTGAATTAGAGAGTCGCCGTCTCTTCTGCAATGGGATATATGCCCCTTCCTCCAAAATGGTGTAAGTTCTTGCTTTAAATGTTGTGTCCCTTATTGGAACTAGCTGGTTGCCTATCACTTCATATCTTTCAAATTCTGAAAAACAATGTAGAAAAGTTACTTCACACACTTACTAACTTAATGAACTTAACACAGTTCTATTCTCAGAATGGCAATTCAAATTGAGTTTTTAGTTTTTGAGCATGACAAAGTAAATCATTTATTAGTGATTTAAGATAAACTCTTAAAAACAGGAAGATTCTATTGTACATGCCTAGAAATAAGAATCAAGATCAGTAACAACCCCAAGTTGTCAACTGAGTACTTTCAACTTAAAAGCTACAGAGTAAATGCTGAAAATACATGAGCAATCCTATTCAACAGAGGAACCCAAAAAGCCATCTTATAAACAAGTAGCAGGCCTCCAAATGTGAGCTCAGTATATTCCAGTTTGATTCCATTCCTCACCAGCACCACCATGTGGATAGACCAACCACTACAGACAGGACTCATCTGCCAAGTGAGACTGGTCCAAAGTATCTCAGAGACTATGACTGCCTCATAGTTAATTTTTTCATTACTTTTTAATTTTTAGGGCTACAGCCCCAGAAATGTTTAGGGATTAGCCCTAGGCAGTGCTCAGGAAACTATATGCAGTGTTAGGGTTCGGACTCTAATCGGCTCCATGCAAGGCAAACACCTTCAACCCATAGTATTTCTCCAGGCCCACAGTTAAATTTTATATGGAACTTAATCAATGCAGAAAATTTTCTAAAACCGTGAAATCTCTATTATGATTCTGAGTTATCTATCCGCAAGCAGGAAATGACAGAGCCCAATGTCAACACACTACATCTTGTGGAGAGATTTGAATGCCTGCATCAGAGTACTGATCCGGAAGTGGTAGTGAGCTAATGCCTGCACCAGAGTACTGATCCAGATGTGGTAGTGAGCTAATTCCCTATGATAGACCATTTCAGCTTTTAGTTTTTATTTTTGAGACCATACCCAGAGATGCTCAGGGGTTACTTCTGGTTCTGAATTCAGGAATTACCCCTTCTGGTTCTTGGGAGACCATATGGGATGCCAGGGATTGAACCTGGGTCAACTACGTGCAAGCCAAGTGCCCTACCCAGTGTATTATCGCTCAAGTCCCTATTTCTGCATTCGTATGGGGGGCTACGGGGAGTAGACCTTTCTTTTTTCAAGAGAAGCAGTCGCCAAACTGGGAAAATCTAAGTTCTTTTTCTTCTCACCCTAATGCAGAAATTATTTGAGTTTAACACACTTTACACATCCTGAGTCAGGGCAGTGCGAAAAGGCATTAAAACCTGAAGAAGTTCGAATTTTAGCCCTATTCCTAATTCAATTTTAATCTTAAGTGAAGATATTGATGACAAAGTCTCAGAAGAGAGATATCAAAAAGTGATCAAGAAAATAGAAGACTTAGCCCTCACATGAAATAAATGCAAATAAATATGGGGGAGGGGATTCACTTACAAAGCACCTCCAATTTCAACTGCAATTTCCATTGTTTTCTTTAATCTGATTGTTTTACTTGATACTCAGAATATTACATCTTATGAAGAATTAAACTTGTCTTTTCACCAAATGGTTCCAGGAAACTGGATATTCATATAGAAAAAAATCAAGCAGGACATCTACCTTATGTAATGTGTAAAAATTCATTACAAATGAATCCATCAAATATAAGCACTGTCCTCCCGTTGTTCATCGATTTTCTCGAGCGGGCACCAGTAACATCTCCATTGTGAGACTTCTTGTTACTGTTTTTGGCATATCAAATACATCACAGGTAGCTTGCCAGGCTTTGTCGTGCAGGCGGAATACTCTCGGTAGCTAGCCAGGCTCTCCGAGAGGGGCGGAGGAATCAAACCCAGGTCGACTGCATGCAAGGCAAACGCCCTACCCGCTGTGCTATTGATCCAGCCCTTAAATATAAGAGCTAACTATAACACTTAAGAAATTACTGAGGGAACCTTTACGACTCTTTGAATTTTAGTCATAATTCATAGACAGTCACAGTCACAGATCAATGATTGTACAGATAGGAAACTAAAAGCAGAAGTAAAAACTAAAAAATAAATACACTGAAATTCATCGACATTAAGAGCTGTGGGCATTAAAGGGCATTACCAAAATAGTGGAAAGACAATCTGCAGGATGGCAGAAAACATTTGCAAATTGTCTCTGACAAAGAGCTAAGATCCAGAATATAAAAACCATTCAAAACAACCTAATTCAAATGGGAAAAAGATTTAAATCAACATTTCTCAGAAAGAGTACACAGGGCCAGGGGTCAGAGCAATAGTACAGCACGTAGGGCGTTTGCCTTGCACCCTGGGTTCGATCCTTGGCATTCCATATGGTTCCCCCAGCACTGCCAGGAGTAATTCCTTAGTGCAGAGCCAGGAGTAAACCCAGAGCATCACTGCGTGTGACCCAAAAAGCATTAAAAAAAGATAAAAAAGAAAACTTAAAGAAAAAAAAAGAGTACACAGGGCCAGAGATGTAGCACAACAATAGAGCACTTACCAGGCATGGCTCTGGGTTCAATCTCTACCACTGCAAAAAGAAACAAAAAATTCATATATATAAACAAATGACCAATAAATGCAGGAAAAGATGCTTGACATCAATATTTTTAAAATGCAAATCAAAAGCACAACTAGATACCACTTTACACCCATTATTTTTGGTTTGGGGGTGCCATACCTGACAGAGCTCAGGGCTTACTCCTGGCTTGTGCTCAGGGGTACTTAAGTGGTGCTGGGGATTGACCTACTCTAACCCCCTGTACTATCTATACAGTCCCAGAAAGGCTATCATTTTTACTGACTGAGACTATGGTTTACAATATTGTTAATGATGGTTTCTCATGCACATAATTCCAGCACCACACCCATCACCAGTGTACCTCCCTACCTCCTCCAAGGACCTCAATATTCCTCTCCCTCAAACCCCTCAAAGTAATTAGGTAGATCAGCTATCCCATTGTTGCTTTTGGCCCTGTGTTACCTTGTTGTCTATAAGTTCCATATATGACAGCATTCTGTATTTACCAGTCCTCCTGACTAAGTTCACTCAGCATATCTACTAGTTCCATTTATGCTGCTGCAAATTGCACGACTTTGCTCTTTCTTAGAGCTGCATAGTAATCCACTGTGTATATTTCTTGATACATCCATCTGTAGTTAATTTAGGTTGTTTCCATATCTTGGCTATTGTACTAAGTGTGACTATGAACACAGGTGTCTATATATCCTTTTGAATTAATGTTTTTGTGCTTGAGGGATAAATGCCAAGAAGTACTATCACTAGTTCACAAGGCAATTCTAGTCTCATTTTTATACAACTCCACAGTACCAGAAAGGCTATTTTTCCTATTTTTTATAAAACTCCATATTACCAGAAAGGCTATTTTTAAAAAAGGAATATAAGCTCCAGTTTTCTTTCCCGTGGAGGTTGTTTCAGCTACGAACCACTTCATTCTGCTGTTTCTAATTCAAAATAAAAAGAAACTTCTATGGAGAAAAAAGAAATATAAGTATTTCAAAGGATATTGAGAAATTGATATGCTCACAATTTGTTAGTAAGAATGTAAACTGTCTTCTTGCAAAACCTAAAATATTTACTCTGCTCCCTCTACTAAAGAAGTTTCCTGATTCCAATCTAAGTAATAACTTTTCAATATTTTAGAGTAGGAACCCAATTCTCTAAGTAAAAGTCAAAGAACAATTTGTCATATAGCTACTGAAAAGATCTTCAAGGGGTTAATTTTTCTCGGCTCTGTGTATGAGAGAATGAATGATCATACATTTCCTTCATTACTGTGGTTAAGGAGCAAACAAACATTAAGGAGCAACCAAACAGCTACAGAAGATCTGGCTAAAAGGCCCCTCTCGTTCCCACACACTTCAAGTTGAATACCAATGAAATGGTGTGGTGACTGTAATTTCAAATTTCAATTGTTAATTGCTGGTCCACATGAAAGGGAATTTTACATATTAACCTTAATAACCTACAATCTTGCTAAAACTGCTTATTAGTTACTGTTCTTGTTGATTTTTTAAGATCTTGTACATAATCTTTTCATCTTTTCTATGGACTACTGACCCAAACTATTATTCCTCTAAGTTCAGTTTTTGCTTTGCCACCAAACAGTTATGACTATGGGGACCAGGTTTAAGTAACTGTACAGAGAAAGAAGATGTATTTCTTCCCACAATTTCTGGAACTACCATCCATTTTCACTCCACCAGCCCAAAAACAGAAAAAACAAAGTTTCAACAAAGGGCAAACACAAATAAACTTCATGACATTACCATGAGTTTTGGATCTCTGGAACTAATTAATTTTAAAATTGCAGGGATAACGGAGCAATTTATTAGAAATGAAGACCAGAAAGAAAAATTTCACTTATAAGGAAATTCATAAATTGCTGATTATTGTCACTGATACCTTGAGAAGCTGGTTGTACAGCCATAAAGTCATCAACTTCAGAAACAGAATCTTCTTCAGATTCTTCTACTATTATAATATCCTCATCCTCATCGTCAGTGGTATCGACATCACTATCCTCAATAGTCACAATGATGTAATCTAAATATAAACAAAGAGAAAGGGTGAGCTTTAATATATGAAAGGTAAAGGTAAAGGTAAAGGCCCTCCCGTTGATCGTCGATTTGCTCGAGCGGACCCAGTAACGTCTCCATTGGAGACTTTGTTGTTACTGTGTCTGACATATCGAATACTCTCGGTAGCTTGCCGGGCTCTCCGAGAGGGGCGGAGGAATAGAACTCCGGTAGGCCATGTTGGCCGCTTGTAAGGCGAACGCCCTACCGCTGTGCTATCGCTCCAGCCCTAATATATGAAAGGGCATTTTTATTTTTTAAAGTTAATATAAGGTAAAAAGGTAAAGGCCCTCCCGTTGATCGTCGATTTGCTCGAGCGGGCCCAGTAACGTCTCCATTGGAGACTTTATTGTTACTGTGTCTGGCATATCGAATACTCTCGGTAGCTTGCCGGGCAATCCGAGAGGGGCGGAGGAATCGAACTCGGGTCGGCCATGTTGGCTGCGTGCAAGGCAAACGCCCTACCGCTGTGCTATTGCTCCAGCCCATGTCCATTTAAGACTTTAATAATCAATTATTGATTAATAATTAATTGCTCGGGTCGGCCATGTTGGCCGCAATTAATTGCTCATTTGTTGATGGGGGGGCGCACATTCTAAGGCATGGGGCACCTAGTCTTACTCTGTAGTCTGGGGACTCTGCAGTGCTCTGCTGCAGGCAAAGCAAGCGGCTTCCCCCTCGTTAAGTCTTTACATTATAATTCTATGTAAGGGCCCAAAACAGTACAACTGCCTGGAACGCGGGCTCTTCAGGCCCAGAGGCCTGGGCAAGGAGCAACACCAGAGAAGAGCGAGCCTGTACATTTCAACAGTTCTGGGTGTGTCCATGCCAAAAAAAAAAATTAAAACCTCAGTGTCTGGGGCTGGGAAATAGCACAGCGTGTAGGGCGTTTGCCTTGCACGCGGCTGACCCGGGTTCGATTCCCAGCATCCCATATGGTCCCCTGAGCACCGCCAGGGGTAATTCCTGAGTGCATCGCCAGGTGTGACCCAAAAAGAAAAACAAAAAGAAACACACCTCAGCGTCTTAGCGGGGCTGGGCAAGCTTGCAGGAGCCCTGGGCGTCATTGCCCAGCACAACTGCGAGCAACCTCAACTGGCCAGGAGTAGCCCTCCCCCGCTTCAGCATCGCAGGGTATGGCCCCAAACCACGAAACAGCAATAAAAAAAAATAGCTGAAAATCTTGGTGATTCCCCCCAACCCCTACCTCCTCTGACTAGGAATGAGAAAGGATAGGGGTCGACTGATAGCATCAAGTCAGCACCAAGTACTTAAACAGCGGCCAAATCACGGGTGGGGGGAAGCCGCAGCTCACAGGCACCGGCATTCCGGGAAGTCCGTGGAAAACCACGATCCACACCCCGCCCCCTCTCCCCCAGCGCGTCTGAAATGAGATGTTGCAAAAGGCAAACAAATCCCGCCGCCAACCCTCGCCTCACAGGACCGCCCCGCCTCGTGAGCCCAGCGCCTTTCCCCCCGCCGCCGCAGGCTCGCGCCGCCGCCGCTCCGGCACGAGAGGAGGCGGGGTCAGGGCGGAAGTCACAGAAAAGGCGCCAGAACGCTCGCGGCTCGGGCGCCCCCTCGCGGCGAGAGGCGGCACCGCGGGCGCCGCGGATCTGGCACCAACCGGTCCAATCCAACGGGTGGCTGCGAGAGCGCCTCGTGGCTTCAAAGTCCTCCGCCCCCCCCCCCGGACCCCGGAACGCTGCCCCCCGCCACCGGGGGACGCCACGAGCGCCGAGCCACCGTCAGCCGTTAGCTGGCCGTAAAGGCGCGAATCGCCACGAGCTTCGGGGCTGCCTCGAGTCCCTGGGCCGCCCTGAAGCCCGGGAACATCCCAAGCTCCGAGCCCGCGCGCGTTTGAAGCCCCCCCCCCCACCTCCGGGGCGCCATTACCCACCCCCCCACGCCGGGAAGCGCGAGATTTTTCTTGAACCTCCTGGCAGAGCTTTCTCTAATCCCTGGAAGGCTGCAACCCCAGAATTCTCCGAGTCCCTGGGACCCCGTGAATGCGCCCCCCACCGCCCCCCCTACCTCAAGTCCCCCGGGTTTGCCTGGAACCCCGAGGCGTTGAAAAGCCACAACCGCCTTCAACCGGCTGGGATCCCAGGTTATCGCCTCAGAGGCGGCAAGAAGCCGACAACTCCGACACCCCCCACCCAAGCCCGGGACGTGAAAGAGCCCCAGGTCGCCGAGCCCTGAGTCGTTCCCAGCCCGATGTGAGGAACCGTTAGAACAGTTCGTTGGATGTTCACGAGCCCCGCAGCCTCGCGCCGGGAGCGGAGAACCTGCTCTCGGGTTCCTCTGAGGTGTTCCGACCGTTAATTCCACGCCCAAACCCCCCCACCAACGGCCCCCCTGGAAACCTCCCCCCCTCCCGGGGCTCTTAAATCTCCCCCGAAATCACCTCAGAGTTCGGACCCTCAAGCCCACACGGCCCGAGACCCCACAAGCCCGCCAGCCCGGAAAAACCTTCAGTGTCACAAAAACCCTGAGGACCACTCGGGCGTCGAAGGCTATCGACACGGCAATGGTCATCCGGTCCGTCCGGTCGGGTCCGGTCCAGCCCAGCCCTCGGGGAGCCGAGTTCCCCCTCAGAGTTCCCTTGTCCCGCCACTAGCCCCTCTAGTCGGGCATCGAAGACCATTGAACACGGCAATGGTCACCTGGTGCATCTGGTCCGGTGCGGTCCAGCCCAGCCCTCAGGGAGCTGAGTTCCCCCTCAGGGTTCCTTTGCCCCGCCACTAGCCCCACTAGCCACGAGTACTCTACCGTCCATTACCAGGCTCATCAGACATGGTGAGTCAGAAGGCGAGGCACTGGGTGTTGAGGGAAACCCCAAGATCACAACCTGCCGCTGTCTGTGACTTCGACGGATTGTGGGGCGGAGCGGTTGACTCGGTTTATATAAAGGCTCAGGCGCGCAGGCGCACTGGTGTCCTGGGGGCGGGGCATAGGGGCACAGGGGGCGGGGCGAGGCGATTTGGGCGCCTAGTCACTCACTCAGAGCGAGCACGTGAGGGATGTGCAAAAAGTTACATCTATGCAAATCGTGGGGATATATGCTTACGGACCAATCAGGGGCCGTGTGCACTTTCAAAAAGTGCCCGCCAGCCCTCCCTCAGAGTGCTCTGCAGCTGCCCGCGCGCGCGCGCGCGCATATCTACGCTTGCAACATTTGATTTCAGGAATATGACTCCCGCGCGCGCCAACAGGAAATAACTGCATTTTTCAAACTGGCGCCGAAGCCCGACCACACAAGCCCATGCCTCCGCAGCCTGCTCCGCATTTTCGGGTGTTTTTGATTTGGGGGGTCATATCCAACAATGCACAGGGATCACTCCTGGCGGTGCTGGAGGAGACCAGATGGGGTGCCAGGGGTAGAACCCAGGCAGACCGTATGCAAGACAGGTGCCCTACCCGGTCTGCTCGGCATTTTTCAGTCAATCGCTGCTTGCTGGGGAAAATGTGGAGAGCCCTATAAGGCCATTTACGGGTGTTCACATGAGCCCGCCACTGGTGAATCGAACCCCGCTGTGGAGCAGTGGTGTTACTGTCCCATGTTTGAAATATTAAAACATTTTCCCGAAATAAACAGGCAATTGTATTAAAAGACTTAAATCACACCAAGTCTCCTTCCAAGTACCTGCCTCGCTCAGAACTTGTGCAACCAAATTCATAAGCAATACTAATAATAGAGTGTGGTGTTTTGGTAGATGTTTATGGTTTTACTTCATTATTACAAATTTTTAAAAGTTCTATCATACAGCAAAGAAAATTGCGTCCCATTTTATTTATTTATTTATTTGTTTGCTTTTGGAGTCACACCCGGCGATGCACAGGGGTTACTCCTGGCTCTTCGCTCAGGAATTACTCCTGGCAGTGCTCAGCGGACCATATGGGATGCAGGGAATCCAACACGGGTCGGCCGCATGCAAGGCAAACGCCCTTCCCGCTGTGCTATCGCCGCAGCCCATGTCCCATTTTAAAGATGAGGAAACGAAGCTGAGTTAAATCACTCCCAGGCATGCCGCTAGTGGTGGGGGGGGGGTGGAGGTAAATGATAATTCGATAGTGCGGGGGCAGGGTAATGATACCGAAAGTGTAAGGGTAATGATTCCGATAGTACCGGATAATGATTCATAAACGGGGCTCCCTTTATCTCAGGCTTCGTAAAATAGCCTCAGTAATTTCTTAATAGCTGTCATTTCTGTCCAAAAAGTCGGAGCAGTAGTACAGCGGGCAGGGCGCTGCCTTGCACTTGGTGTCATTGACCCAGTTCAATCCCTGAAGGCCCTCCAGGAGCAATCGCTGAGTACAGTGTCAGGGGCACAGCGGCCTATGGCACAACACCCCCTCCCCCCACCCCCACCCCGTCAAAAATCAAAGCTAAACTATAGGGGGCTGAAATAGTACAGCACGGCTCATCAATTCTGTGAAAACACGCAGCAAGCACTGCGGGAGGCTCGCAGCCCTGCCCAGGTGGCCAGGGGATCCCAGCATCCCAGACCCAAAGGAGCATCTTGTTTTCCAACCTTTGTTCGCAAACATCAGCAGGCTGACTGAGAATGGCTGTGTGGGGGGTGGTTCTCCCAGGCCTTATTACCACTTGGGAGGCCTCCAGAACACAGAAACAACAAAGAAATGAAATAATAAGTATTTTTTGTGCTTTTTGGGTCACACCCAGCAATGCTCAGGGGTTACTCCTGGCTCATGCACTCAGGAATCACTCCTGGCGGTGCTCGGGGGACCATATGGGATGCTGGAAATGGAACCTGTGTTGGCCATGTTGGCTGCATGCAAGGCAAACACCCTACCCGCTGTGCTATCGCTCCAGCCCCTAATAAGTATTTTTAAAACAAGACTTTCCAGTTTTATTTTGTCCTAGCTAATCCGTCCTTGTGTTGATGGCCATATGCACTCCCTTCTATCAAATTTTCTCAGTTTAAAAAATTTTTTTTCTCAATTTGAATATCAGCAAGATAGCACACCAGGTAAAAGATTTCCTGGCACACAGGACCACCAGAGGACCACCAGGTGTGGTCCAAAACACAAACAAGAATAGTTCCAGACTGCTGGTGCAAAGGTGATGTGTATTTGATGTAAAATGATTACCAGTAACATCCTTACACATTTATAAAATATTTTTCTTGTGACATATATTTTGTCCTTGTGACATGTTTTATTTGGGGGCCACACCCCAGTAGTGCTCAGGGCTTACTCCAGGCTCACTTCTTATATGGCTGGAGGGGCCGTATTCAATGCCCAGAACCTAACCCAGGTCAACCACCAACAAGGCAAGTACTTTCCCCATTCTGCTCTCTGGACCTTGTGATAAGTCTTTTAAAAGAGTTATTTTCTTAACAACTTTAAAAATAATGCAATGTTATTAAGTATGTCCGATGCTGTATATAACATACTGCACATAATATTATTATTGTTATTATTATGATTTAGGTAACACGGCTATGCTTCAGGTCTTCCATGTAAGTCTTGAATACATTCTGAGATCTTTTTCTTTTTTTTTTTTTTTGCTTTTTGGGTCGCACCCAGCAATGCTCAGGGGTTATTCCTGGCTTTGCACTCAGGAATCACTCCTGGCGGTGCTCGGGGGACCATATGGGATGCTGGGAATCGAACCCAGGTCAGTCGCGTGCAAGGCAAACGCTCTACCTGCTGTGCTATTGCTCCAGCCCCTTGAGATCATTTTTATGTGTGTTTCACAAGTGGCTCTCCTGTTTTCTCAACGGACAACCCAGGTTCAATCCCTGGTATCCCGTATGTTCCCCTGAGCACTGCCAGGAGTGATCCCTGAGTGCAGGGGCAAGACTAACCCCTTGATCATCACTGGGTGCCAAAAATCTACAACTAACTAAATAAAAATAAATAAACACATAAATAAGAGCTAAAAACAGCATTTATTGAGGAGTCAGAGCAATAGTGCAGTGAGTGTGGGTGTGGGTGCTTGCCTTGCACGCGGCCAACCTGGCACTCCATATTGTTCCTCAACCTGCCAGAAGTAACCCCTGAGCACAAAACCAGGAGTAAGCCCTGAGCATTGCGGGGTGTGGCCTAAACCACACACACACACAAAAAAAAATTTATTGTGACTGCCCTTTACCCTTTGTATATGCATGAATTCTTTGCATTGAATTAATTGATGTGTGGGTTTATTTTCCTGCTGTGGGTTTGTTAGTTACATTTGGCCTTTAGGATGCTTAAATACATTCCCACTATACCCATCTTGTTAAAACTTTTTATCATAAAGCTGGAGAGATAGTATAGAAGGTACGGTTCTTGCCAAACAGGATTCATTCCCTGGTACCCTATTAAGTGGACCCCATATGGTCCTCTGAGCCCACCAAGGGTGAGACTTGAGCACAGAGCCAGGAGTAAGGTCTGAAGACAACCCAGTGTGGATTTTAAAAAGTTGTTTAAATCATAAATGGACTTTGAACTTTGCAAATGCATTTTCCGCATTTATTCAGATGATCACATGCTTTCACACCACATTCTGTTAATGTGGTGTATCATTCTGATGGATTTGCAAAGCAAAATTGGAACTTTCCTTGCATCCCTGAAACAAATCCCACTAAGTTATATGGTCCTTTCTAACACTTTGAGTGTTCTTCAACCTTTTCTCAGATTGTCACTTGAAGAACACAGGCTTAACATAGTTAAATTCAGTTTGCTAATATTTTCCTGAGGATTTTTGTGTCTATGTTCAATATGGCTGTCGACTTCTAATTTTGTTTCTTTCCTAGCTTGTATGATTTTGGTATCAGAATAACAGCCTTGGGGCTAGAGCAATAGCACAGCACTTGCTTTGCACGTGGCCGACCTGGGTTCGATTCCCAGCATCCCATATGGTCCACTGAGCACCTCCAGGAATAATTCCTGAGTGCAGAGCCAGGAGGACTAGAGCGATAGCACAGTGCAAGCAGCTGGCCCGGCCGACCCTGGTTCAATTCCTCTGCCCCTCTCAGAGAGCCTGGCAAACTACCAAGAGTATCTCGCCCGCACGGCAAAACCTGGCAAGCTACCCGTGACGGATTCGATATGCCAAAAACGGTAACAAGTCTCACAGTGGAGAAGTTACTGGGCCCAATGGAGCAAATCGAGGAACAACAGGAGGACAGTGCTACAGTGCTACAGTGCAGAGCCAGGAGTATCCCCTGTGCATTGCCGGATGTAACCCAAAA